TCCTCTCTTTCTCTGTCTAACGAATATGTATATATATAATCAGTGTTGTCATCCAGCATGGTCCATCTGGTTCCCGTGTTGCCAAGATCCTGTCTTCATCTCCCGGCAATATCAGCATCTCTGGGCGAGAGATGCTGTGGGATAAAGCTGTGGCTGAAGTTCAAACCAGTGTGAAAATGTTTTATTATTATTATTAGAAGAGGCAGGGGGCTCGAGGCCACGGGATGGGGGAAGAGAGGTTAGATAGATGTTGAGAGGAGTCGTTCCGTTCGCTGCTACAGTGGGTTATTACGTGATCTGTTTGGACGGGGGGTGTGGCTTTGTTTGGGCAGGCAGGCTGCTCCCGTCTAAGCCGTCTACTCAGTTGATTGGTCTAAGCGCTTTTGTACGTTGTGGTGAAGAACGTTGCAAATGCAGTCTACTATGAAGGGTAACGGCTCACAAGCATTTTAGTTTTCTATATGTGGGACTCCATAGGTTAGGTAGGCTGCCTGGGTTTGTTCGTTTCTGGTTTGGGTTGGCGGTGGTGTTTATTATGGTTGAAGATTGAAAACGGACATTTTGAAAAGCTCCATTATATTAGCCACGTAGAAAATTATTCAATAAATATTTACCACAATTTACCTGAGGGCCATCATTTTTCTAGTGGCCTCGTCCCGGACAGGAAGCCGGTGGTTTGTCAAAGGTCGTACCTGATAAATTTTTTCCAAATAGATTTTAACTGCAGTAATGTGTTGGTATTTAGAGCTTCAGCGGGTAGGCGGTTCCAGGGGTTCATAGCCCCTGTGGGTGAAAAATCATCTGTTTCTCCTCTACATTGTGGCCTGATGAGCTAGAAGCTGTTGCCCCTTGTTTGTGTTACAACTGACCATTTGAAGGTCAAACTTGTTCAGTATTTTAAATGGTTCCATGATTTCACCTCTGTCATGTCTGTTATGTTGTAGAACAATGGGAAAGGAAGGTTTAAAGTAGTTCCAAAGACTTGGAGATTCTCTCTACATATTTCAAAACATCTTCCAAGCATCCTTTTGGCCGCCAAATGATAATGGAGAACTAGAGTAGAATTTCTCCATAACACGAAAATATATGACATAACTTCATCGTTAAGTTAATCGTTAATATATCTTCAAGTTCAAGTATATTTATTGAGACAAGAAAGAAATACATCTCAAAGGGATAGAGTAGCTTAGGCTATTTCTACCCCCACTAATATATCTTGAATTTTTTATCAGTAAGGAGGTAATGTAAGCTCATTATCAAGAAAAAGTCATTACAACTATATAGCACTTGGAAGGGGTATGAGGATAAGGATTTAGGATAGGACGGAGGGAAGGAATGGCGACCAACCACTTGGACGATCGGGGATTGAACGCCGATCAGAAGAAAGTGAGGCGTGCTTTCGTAAGAGGATCTTGATTAACTTCTGTATTACCTTTAGAGTAGTTTAATATTCCCTTTAAAGTAGAATTTCAGGGTTAGCTTTAGAGTAGAGGTTCTTAAACAATCTCAGAATAAAGAGCTTTAAGTATAGAGTAGAAGGGCTTTATAAAATATTAACAAGAGGTTCGAAAGTATCTTTAAAGTTCTAAGTATTTAGCAACTTAAATTATAGGATGTTATAAGGATTAGAGGATATCGCAAGGATTAGAGGATGTCCCGAGAATTAGAGGATGTTTAAGGATTGGAGGATGTTTAAGGATTGGAGGATGTTTAAGGATTGGAGGATGTTTAAGAATAAGAGGATGTTCTGAGGATTAGAGGATGTCCCAAGGATTAAAGGATGCTATAAGGATTAGAGGATGTGTGTGTGTGTGTGTGTACGTACGTACGTACGTATGTATGTGTGTGTGTCACTGAACAAAAACCTACAATTGTGGATGAATCAATGTTTAAAAACTCGCTAGAATTAACTAAAACAATTTGGAACTGCATCTTGGCTTGTCAGACAATCGAAATTATTGGTGAGAAGTTCAGATAAAGAGCTGTCGACCTCACCTCCCAGTACTGACTGAGAGGTATAAGCACTACAACTACCACTAATATTACAACCACCACTAACAATTCACCTACCACTAGCAACTAACAACAATATTCCTTCCACACTACCCCGCCCCCGCCCCCCACTAACATACCATCACACACACACATCGTCTCCCGCTCTCTAGGCTAAATATGCCTTCCTTATTCTGGGTAAAGGTGCCACGCGCCCCGACGCTTGGGGGTCACCCTCTCTGCCAACACCGCGATGATCACAGGGCTCGCTGAGGCCTGGTTGACGTCCCGCGTTGATCACAGGGCTCCCTGAGGCCTGGTTGACGTCCCGCGATGATCACAGGGCTCGCTGAGGCCTGGTTGACGTCCCGCGATGATCACAGGGCTCCCTGAGGCCTGGTTGACGTCCCGCGATGATCACAGGGCTCCCTGAGGCCTGGTTGACGTCCCGCGATGATCACAGGGCTCGCTGAGGCCTGGTTGACGCCCCGCGATGATCACAGGGCTCCCTGAGGCCTGGTTGACGTCCGCGATGATCACAGGGCTCCCTGAGGCCTGGTTGACGTCCCGCGATGATCACAGGGCTCCCTGAGTCCTGGTTGACGTCCCGCGATGATCACAGGGCTCCCTGAGGCCTGGTTGACGTCCCGCGATGATCACAGGGCTCCCTGAGGCCTGGTTGACGTCCCGCGATGATCACAGGGCTCCCTGAGGCCTGGTTGACGTCCGCGATGATCACAGGGCTCCCTGAGGCCTGGTTGACGTCCCGCGATGATCACAGGGCTCCCTGAGGCCTGGTTGACGTCCCGCGATGATCACAGGGCTCCCTGAGGCCTGGTTGACGTCCCGCGATGATCACAGGGCTCCCTGAGGCCTGGTTGACGTCCGCGATGATCACAGGGCTCCCTGAGGCCTGGTTGACGTCCCGCGATGATCACAGGGCTCCCTGAGGCCTGGTTGACGTCCCGCGATGATCACAGGGCTCCCTGAGGCCTGGTTGACGTCCCGCGATGATCACAGGGCTCCCTGAGGCCTGGTTGACGTCCGCGATGATCACAGGGCTCCCTGAGGCCTGGTTGACGTCCCGCGATGATCACAGGGCTCCCTGAGGCCTGGTTGACGTCCCGCGATGATCACAAAAGAGCTCCCTGAGTCCTGGTTGACGTCCCGCGATGATCACAGAGCTCCCTGAGTCCTGGTTGACGTCCCGCGATGATCACAGAGCTCCCTGAGGCCTCGTTGACGTCCCGCGATGATCACGGGGCTCGCTGAGGCCTGGTTGACGTCCCGCGATGATCACAGGGCTCCCTGAGGCCTGGTTGACGTCCCGCGATGATCACAGGGCTCCCTGAGGCCTGGTTGACGTCCCGCGATGATCACAGGGCTCCCTGAGGCCTGGTTGACGTCCCGCGATGATCACAGAGCTCCCTGAGTCCTGGTTGACGTCCCGCGATGATCACAGAGCTCCCTGAGGCCTCGTTGACGTCCCGCGATGATCACGGGGCTCGCTGAGGCCTGGTTGACGTCCCGCGATGATCACAGGGCTCCCTGAGGCCTGGTTGACGTCCCGCGATGATCAGGTCTCCCTGAGGCCTGGTTGACGTCCCGCGATGATCACAGGTCTGCCTAAGGTCTGGTTGACGTCCCTAGCACTGAGGTCCTTAATTATTATTATTATTGATCCTATTTCCATTTTATTATTATCATAAGTGCAAGTAAAATGTGTGTATTCATCGTGATATAAGAATTAAACATTTCTTGGTAGAAATATGAATATAAATCGAATGGTTTAATTATACCAATAATAAAATTAATAATAATAATAATGATAATGTCAAATTGTCGATGTTGATATGGGTGTGATTTCGGGAGTGTGAGGAGAGGAGAAACACTGCACATATATAGTGTTGGGTGGGAGAGTATAGAGTTTACAGCGGGGGCGGAAAACTGGTGCTTAATGCCATGTTATTCTGAGACCGGCGGCCAGGAATGGCGCAGTCCGCTGGTTGAAGCCTCACGGGGCATGGGGTAGCTTCCGTATGGCAACAACATCTAGCTTGTGAAAATAACAGCTCTGCCCGGGCATTGGTGATGTGCGCAGTACCGCTCGGACGAGCACGTACACTGCACCGCTCGGACATGCACGTACACAACACCGTGTGCTGTGTACGTGTATGTCAGGAGAAGGATTTTGGATGGGTAGGGGGGGAAATGGTGCCCAACCACTTGAACGGTCGGAGATTGAACGCCAACCTGCGATAAGCGAGACCGTTACTCTACCGTCTAGCCAGAGTGGTTGACTGATTTTTGGTTAGATAGCTTATGCTTTGCTATATGCTTTGCTTATTTGTTTGAATATCGTTAGAATGTCAGATAAGTGAGAGTTATTTCTGTAAATTATCCAACTGACTGACTTGGAATAATAATTTTTATGATAGTTAATGTTTCAAATAGTATTGATTGATATAATATGATGTCTTGTTTCTGTCTCAAGGGAAAGTTTGTATTTAGTTAATCGTTTTCTGATGCCATGTGACTTGTCGTTCCTTTATGCTGGAACCATTCTATAGTTGGCATCTAGATATTATTATATTTTCCCATTTGTTTTGTAGGCTTGCACATATTTAATAAGTACAGCTTTGTTGATTTACATCTAGTGCTTTACTCATTCCTGAAATCCTTATAAATACTGGTCATATATCTTCATGTATTATGCCTCAATAAGAAACTGAGGTGGGGGCATAGGCCTTGTCGGGTGGCTAAAATAATTAGTGATAAGGTTAAATCATAACAATTAACCATTTATTTACGCCTATTTCATTCTTTCTTTCTTTATTAATGTGAGTTTGCGAATAGGCTGTTTGCCTTTTAATTAATAAAGAAATGGAATATATAATGAATATCAAAATAATTTTAAAAAATTCTTTTTTTATATGCTGAAATCTTGTTTAGTAGTATAAAAATGGTGCACAATAAATTCACATATATACTATCAATTATATCAATAGTATTCATCTGTATGTTTATTAACATTCAAAGGTACAGTAATCCATAAACCACCGTTTAAGGTGTCGTAAAACAAGCTGAAAGATCCGCCAGGAAGAATGTCTCAGTGTACCAGTTGCGATACAGAGCTCTCAATATGCTGAGTGACAATGTGCCTGGCGCTGAGAGCACTTCTCTCTTCCAGCTCCTCCAGCTCCTGCTGAGCCTTGCGGTATTTGGCCAGATTCAGAGCGGCAATCTCTTCCGCCTCCTCGATCTGGCGCTTGTAGGCATTGACCTTCTGCTGCAGTTTGTCAACGATGTCCTGCATCTTCTCTTGGCTCTTCCTGTCCTCGTCGGACTGGTAGGAAATCTCCTTAATGCGCCTCTCACATTTCCTAAGGTTCTTCTGGGCTTCGGAGTGAAGGGTCACTTCTTTGTCCAACAGGCCCTCCAGTTCACGAATGCGGCTTTCCAGCTTGGTGTAGGCAGCCTTGCCTGTCTTCTGGAGGATGCTCTCGCTCTCCTCGAGTCGAACCTGGAGCTCCTTCACGGTAATTTCCAGTCCCTTACACATCTTCTCCTGGGTCTGAGAGTGGTCCTGTTCGTTGCGGAGTTCGTCAGCCAGGCGGGCGGCGTCGATCATGGCTTTCTTAGCTTTGTCCTCAGAGTTTCTGGCTTCTTTGAGCATTTCATCTATGTCGGTCTGTGGAAATAGATAAATGATGCTTACATTTGAGTAGGCAAAACTGAAAATATTGAATTATATTAGAGATATTATAATAAATGTCATAGAGTTTTACAAAAGAGAAAGATAATTTACGTCAAGCATTTGACAATAGGGGAAGATAACTTACATTAAGGGTTTGCATTTCAGCCTCAAGTTTCCTCTTGGTCGTAGTAAGTATTCCATTTTCGGTAGTAAGTTTAGTTACGGTTACATTAGCATCGGAGAGATCAGACTCTGCGTTGCGACGGCTGCGATCAGAGTGCTCGAGGAGAGTCCGAGACTCTTCCAACTCGCCCTGGAGAGTGTTGACTTTGCGCTCGGACGTGCTGAGCTGCTCCCGGTACTCCGAGACCAGGCGCTGTTGCTCCTCCAGCCGGGTCTGTTGCTCCTTAGTTTCCGTCTGGAGTTTCTTGACGATCTTCTGCATCTCGGCGTTGGCTTTGTTGGAATGGTTTAACGCACCCTCAAGCTCACCGATGTCAGCCTCGATTTTCTTCTTCATGTGTAGGGCTTCCGCCTTGGCTTTGGCTTCGGTTTCAAGGGATGTTTGGATGGACTCGATAGCGCGCTGGTGGCCCTTTCTGCAACATGTATGGATTAATGTTATGCTTTTGGGGCAATGAGGTGACTTGAGCCGATGCCTTGGTAATTCCCAGACACCTGCCCTTAACCCCACGCAGCCACCAAAGGGCAAAAACCAACTAATACAGTAAACTACCTACAAACTAACACTCCCATATATGTTAAGCATAATAAAGTCAATTTTCAAGCCTACTCTCGCGTTAATGTTCTTAGTGTTAACTATGTCATATTAGCGTTATATTCATTATCATAAAAGCCTGGGCATTCAAATAATTTTATATCTAAATTTTTCACCTGTTCTATAGATAACAAGATTTTTTTAAGCAATTAGGCGTTTCAGCCGTCCATCTCATGCATACACAGTATGTATGCTAAAGTGCATTGATGCATCTTATCGATATACAGTATGAATACAGAATTTCATTTTTCCTTCTTGTGCATACCCAGTTTCCCCCCTTCCATCTTATGAATACACAGTATGAATACACAGTATTCTTCCACCACAGTATGAATAGTATACAGTTGATGTATAGCACTTACCGTGTAGCCTCGAATTCGTCCTCCTTTTCCTGAAGGCGTCGATCAATCTCCTGCCTGACTTGACCAAGTTCCACCTGGGACCGAAGTACCTTGTTTTCTTCTTGCTCAAGGGCGGACTCTGCCTCCTCGAGGGCGGCCTGAAGCTCCTCCTTCTCGACCTCGTACTGCTTGATAGTCTTCTGGTTCTCGCTGAGCGTGTTGTCACGGTCGGAAAGCTGATCGGACAGATGCCTTACTTCGTCAGAAAGATTCTTATTTTCTCGGCGAAGTGCCTCGAAGCTCTCTGCTCTCTCTTCGCATACAGCGTTTAGCCGGTAGTTTTCAGTAGATAAGCTACGATACTCCTTCTGGGAAACATCAAGTTCCATTGCAAGGTCATCGACCTTGATCTTCCATTCGCCGATAATTTTGTCGAAGTTCCTTTGTCTCTTCTCTGCCACAGCAGCTAAAGTTTGTGCCTTTTCAACTGCAATTTGCATTTCTTCGAACTCTCCTAAAGCGCGTTGTTTAGTCTTTTCCAGATTCAAGTTTCTGACATTAAGCTGTTCGATTTGAGCTTCAGATTCTTCAAGTCGACAAGCAAGTTTCATACGAGCAGCCTCGAGCTCCTCGGCTTTAGCAACACCGTCAGACTCGTACTTGGAGCGCCACATGAGAGCCTCAGCACTGGCCTTCGACAGCAGTCGTTGCAGCTCAGCCTTGATCTCACTATCTTCGTCGAGTTGTTCCCGGAGACCATCAATGTCGTGCTCCAGGTTCCGGTACTTGCCAAGAATTGTGGCACGCAGCTGTCAAGAGGAAATCGGAAGTTCTTGAAAGTTATACTGGATGCAATTATGTCATTATGGTCATTGTATTAAATAGCAACGCGATACCTACCCTACATTCCTCATCTGCGACCTTCTTGGAGTCTTCCACCTGGTTGGATAAGGAGAGTCTGAGCTTATTTAGGGAGCCGATTTGAGCTTCTGCTTCTTCCAGTTGTCGCAAGAGGTCAGCGTTCTCAACCGCGAGCTTCTTCTTGGTAGCGTCGTTGTCGCTGATAATGCGGAAAGCTTCGTCACATTTAATTTGAACCTCGTGCATCTGGTGATGGAGCTGCTTGTTCGTCTTTTCAACTTCAGCCTGAGAAAAATTATGACCAGATTAAGTTCAAATCGTAAATGGGTGATCCATAAATTATTTGCCCAAAGCAGACTAATATGGCAGGAAAATTGAATATTTACTTATACACATTAGCAAGAAAAATCACCGAGACAAGTGAAGAACTATTCAACCATCCATAAAGACACAAATATTGCCTGAACGCTATCACCCCTGAAAGCCTTATCGGTTCTTCGTATGATGAAAGCGCTCAGCTCAATTGTCCGTGTTTCGCTTGTGTGTTCCCTACAGATGTATGTTTATATAACACGTGACCTCAAAATGCAAGAAAAGCCAAAAGTGAAATAGGAAAATAGTATTAGTACTTTTGATGAGTTTTTCGCTGTCTTCACATTTCACTGATTTTTCTTACAGCTCTATAAGTAAAAATGGAGTAAACGGTTATCTTGAGATCTTGAGGTTATCTTGAGATGATTTCGGGGCTTTAGTGTCCCCGCGGCCCGGTCCTCGACCAGGCCTCCACCCCCTAGGAAACAGCCCGTGACAGCTGACTAACACCCAGGTACCTATTTTACTGCTAGGTAACAGGGGCATAGAGTGAAAGAAACTCTGCCCATTGTTTCTCGCCGGCGCCTGGTGAATTAAAATGTTGCACTTTTTTTTTTTCTTTTTTTACACATTAAAATCCGAAAGAACCACTGACCTTTTCATGTGACAGTCTGTCCAGGGCCGCCTTTGCGTCATCTATGTCACGTTTCGCCAGCTCTTTCTCCTTCTCCAACCTGTTGATAGACATAAACATCTGTCAAGCCTAACACCCAAGATCCCTCTACTTAGCCTAGTAAGCAAGTCCCGTTTTGACCAACAGCCAGAGCGATTTTGTATATATCGTCTTAGAAATTAGTTTACTCTTAATAAAAACAACTTATTTAATAGAATACAAATTTAATAGTTAAATTATTTAATTTAATAAGTAATTAATTTACATTATTTACTTAACTAGATCTAGATTTACCTTCGTTGGGCAGAATTAAGGAATAATTCATTTAGATTATGTGATGTTGCTAAGCTCGTTTAGGCTCAAATTAAAAAAAATAATAATTTTGATCTTTAAATTGAATAAACGCATCAACGCTCAGAGTAAATTTTTTTAACGAGATTAAGATCGCTAGGTAACTCTGGCTATTAAGTAGGGCTACACTTGTTCGGAAACAATTAATGCTTTATATAGTACATCTATTGGTTTTCACATGTAACATGATTGTTGTCTTACAGATTAAACCTCTTATTACAGATATAATTGCAAAAAATGACAAGGTCAGCATCCTAACACTGGTTTGATTTATTGTATTAAATTTAAAATTAGCTTATCAGAACACTAAATCCGGATATGAAAAGAACGACTTGCCTTGATTTGATCTTATTCACATGCTCGATTTGCTCCGCCATATCAGCCACGGTGTCTGTGTGCTTCTTACGGAGAAGGTGGATGGCAGAGTCGTGACGGATGTTCCTTTCTTCGAACTCACAGCGAAGCTTGGCGAGCTCAGTCTCGCGCTTCTTGTTGAGTTCGATCTGCGCGGCGGTGGCTCCACCCGCTTCGTCCAGGCGGTCGGTGAGGTCTCCCAGCTCCCGCGAGAGTGTGGTCTTGGCCTTCTCGGCCTTCGCGCGGGCCTGACGCTCGTGCTCCAGTCCGGCTTCCAGCTCTTCTATGCGGAACTGCAGTTCCTTAATCTGTTTATTGAGCTTCACTACAAGTTGCTGTTCATCATCTAGTTTCTTGGCAATTGAGGAGAATTCCTTATCTTTCCTATCGATGGCTTGCTCGAGATCCTTACGACTGCGTTCCAAGTCGTGTACAGCCTCCTGGGTAAGTTTAAGATCGCTTTCAACTTTTCGTTTCACTTTCTCAACTTCAGCCCGTTGTCTCTTCTCGTGTTCAAGAGAATCCTCGAGTTCGTCGAGGTGCTGCTCGAGTTTACCCTTAACAGTGTTGAGGTGGTTGCACTTGTCCTCGATGCTCTGGTTGTCCTCAGCGGACTTTTGATTGATTTCCTGCAGGTGTTTCTTCTCCTTGTTGACCTTGTTGATGTGTTCTTCCTGATGGGAAATCTCTTCGGTAAGGTTGTTGATTAAATGATCCTTAGCGGCCTTTTCCTGTTCTACTTTTTGGATGGCCAACTCCAGTTGCTCTATTTCCTTCTTGAGAGCCTGAACGTCTTGCTCCACTCTCTTCTTGTCTTGTGAGAGTGCATTGCGATCTTCTTGCTCCTTTTGCAAGCGCTCGCTGGTTTCCTGAAAGTTACAAGTTATTGGTTCATCAAAACTTACATTTATATATTGCCGAAGAAATGTCTTCAAACCCGCGCATCAGTATGCAGATATTTTACAATTTTTTAAGAAATTGAGTATAAAGATACAATACGCGTGTGCACTCCACAACCCTTACAAATACAAAGATGAAGATTGCGAGATACTTAAATATGACTTAGAAAAACTACAGAGCTGTTTTGACAAATGGCTATTAGAGTTCAACACATGTAAGTGTAGTATGATGGAAATGGGAACAGGAAACCAAAAGGACGGTATAAAATCAAGGAAATTTATCTCCCTGTAATAATAACAGAAAAAGACCTGGGAATGGACATAACACGAAGCCTAACTCCGGAGGGTCTTAAAAATAATATCATCAGTAGCATACTTTACCATGGCAAAAGTCAGTACATCGTTCAAGAACCTCAATAAGGAGACATTTAGACCACTGTACGCCGCATGAGACCAATTTGCCACCCCATCGTGGAGCCTCCGTCTCAAAAACACATAAGAAAACTAAAAATGGTTAAATAGTTTCCGATGAAGCTCGTCCCAGAAGTGTGAGGGATGGGTTATGAGGAAAGACTGAAACAGCTAGACCTGACATCGCTACAGAAACGGAGAGAGAGACAGGAGACATAACTGAGACATAGAATAATGTGTAAAAAATGTTAAAATTAATACCAATAAAACAAGAAGGGATGTATGGAAGCTTGAGAATTAGATGTGTCATAGAGATCGATGTGAGAAAGATTTTTTAGTATGAGAGTCGCGGGAAAATGGAATGAACTAATCGAGTATGTTGTAGAAGCAACCTCTATTCTCAATTTCAAAAGTAGATGTGATAAAGGAATAAGGTAGGAGTCATTGAATTAGACAACCAGCAACTAGAAAGGTGGGGTCCAAGAGCTTAAACTATATCAATAGGTGAACACACAAAAACACACATCCTTACTTCAAGCTGAGACTCAAGGTCTCTCTTCTGGGACTGCAGCTTTGCCTGCTTATTCAAAAATTCGCTCATATTGCCTTTACTGGATTCCAGGGAGAGCAACAGATTATTCTTTTCCTCCAGGAGAAGAAGATTTGCAGCCTCCAGCTCCTTACGCAGCTTGGTCTCGTTCTCCAGGTCCTCCAGAGCCTTGGCGGCCTTCTCTTCCAGCTCACGAATCTCATCCTCAATGCGGGTGACATTGAGGAGAGGCTTGACCTTCTGCCAGAGGTTGAACCACGACCAGGTGCGCATCTTCAGGAACTTCCTGAGGTTGCGCTGAACGACAACGAGGGAAATGCGTTGCTCCTGGAGTTTGATGAAAGCATTGCGGCTGATAAAGCCTCGGACCCAAGCCTGTACCCAGGCGATCATCTTGCCCAGACGGTCGTCGCGGATCTCCTCCAGGGTACCCAGGACACCAGCGCGGAAGAACACCTGGTTAATGAGATTTATAGTTAAGATAATTTAGTGTAGAGCTTATAAAATGCCAGAAGACCGAACAATAAAAGTTAAAGGAATAAAACCAGAATCTAAATTATATTGCTTACTGAGATAGGTTTTGCTAAATCTGTCTTGATATGAAGAGCAGGTGGATTCTTAATGCCATCACATTACTTTATTGATCACCCTGAGCGTATAATCAAACCCTTAACGTAGTCTAGGATTTAAGTAAACTCTCACTGCTCATACTCCGAGAAGCGGGGCTACACAATAATGTTACCATATGACATAAGACAGCACTATTATGATGCTACTGATGACTGAGAGTGAGGGGTACTGGGAAAGACCGGATGTCAGTTAATCTCTTCATGTAAGGTTTTCCTAAAATTCCTTTCCTTCCTCTGGGAGCCAACAACAACCTTCCTACTCCATGAAGGTAGAAATAGGTTATTAGTGAGGATTTTATTGAGGGTTTATATATACATATAAACCCTCAATATATATATATATATATATATATATATATATATATATATATATATATATATATATATATATATATGTCGTACCTAGTAGCCAGAACTCACTTCTCAGCCTACTATTCAAGGTCCGATTTGCCTAATAAGCCAAGTTTTCCTGAATTAATATATTTACTATAATTTTTTTCTTATGAAATGATAAAGCAACCCTTTTCTCTATGTATGAGGTCAATTTTTTTTTATTGGAGTTAAAATTAACGTAGATATATGACCGAACCTAACCAACCCTACCTAACCTAACCTAACCTATATTTATAGGTAAGGTTAGGTTAGGTAGCCAAAAAAAGCTAGGTTAGGTTAGGTTAGGTAGGTTAGGTAGACGAAAAAACATTAATTCATGAAAACTTGGCTTATTAGGCAAATCGGGCCTTGAATAGTAGGCTGAGAAGTGCGTTCTGGCTATTAGGTACGACATATATATATATATATATATATATATATATATATATATATATATATATATATATATATATATATATATATAGAAGTAAATGCACAGGGCCTATTGGCCCATACGATGCATTGAAGTGGGTAGAATATAGTTGTGCATTAATTGGCTGTTGATTGCTGGTGTTGACTTTTTGATGTGTAGTGCCTCGCTGATGTCGAGCCGTCTTCTATCGCTGTATCTATCGATGATTTCTGTGTTGTTTGTTAAGATTTCTCTGGTGATGGTCTGGTTGTGAGGAGAGATTATATGTTCCTTAATGGCGCCCTGTTGCTTATGCATTGCTAGTCGCCTGGAAATAGACGTTGTTGTCTTGCCTATATACTGAGTTCTTTGGGGCTTATAGTCCCCAAGTGGGCATTTAAAGGCATAGACGACGTTGGTCTCCTTCAAAGCGTTCTGCTTGGTGTCTGGGGAGATTTTCATGAGTAGATTGACCGTTTTTTTGGTTTTATAATAAATTATAAATTTTATAATAAATTATAATAATTTATTTTTATAATATATTTATTTGTAATAAATATAATAAATTAGAAAATACAATTGAGCCCCACGACGGGTTGTATAATAAATTATAATAATTTTATAATATATTTATTTATAATAAATATAATAAATTAACTTCTATTGGTGTATATATATTTGTAAGGTGTGTGTTTGTAGTTTTACGGGCTATCCATCCCCGTGCTATTATTTGGGTGGCCTAATCTTCGTCACCCAATCAGTTTGTAGTTACCTTAGTGTTGCCAAGGCGGTACAGCTCTTCGTCTAGACCGGCCTTGTCGAAGCAAACCTTGGCAGCCTTCTTGTCATCAGGGATCGCAGACATCTCCTGGGAAGCTAAGATCTTGTAGCTGCGGTATGAGACACGAGGCAGCATGAGAAACAATGTATTTTAAGAAACGAGACAGATTTAGATAGGCTTTTTAGAATGGACGAATGGTTAGCTGCAGCTTAATGTTGACACGTGTAAATTTCTAAGCTTAGGTGATGTTAATAGAGTAACCGGATAGTAGTTAAACATCAGTGACATGGTTAAAGCTAATATAAAAATAATCTGAGAGACATGATTAGTAAGGATTATAAGCCGAAAAATTCAGTGAATAAAAGTTCAAAATTAGGATATTGAAATTCTATCTATAAGAACACAAGTATGAGAAGTCAACTCACCGGTTCTTGAAGTCAGAATAGATCATCCTGTTGGGGAAGCCCTTACGACAGATACGGATGCCCTCAAGCACACCGTTACAGGTCAGTTGGTGCATGATGAGAGCAGCGTCAGTCACACCTAAAAGGGGACAGGAGGAAATTGTCAGTGTTTACACACTCATATCATGCTAAGCTTGAGAACTTGCACCGAACCTTGCACACACTTCAGTAGAAACAGCCGGTTCTTAAGTAGACGTTTTTGGGCACTATGAAACACATATTCCTGTGGCCCTTGAGGATTTTTTTTTTTTTGCAGAGATATTCTGCGTGGGCCCTAAGCTTCTGGCTGGCCCAATAAGACCAAATAATTAATATTATAATATTATTCAAGATTATTAATATTAAAATATTAAAAATTATTGATATTAAAATATTATTCAAAATTATTAATATTAAAATATTATTCAAAATTAATATCATAAGAAACCGTAAAAGCTCTATTGTGGATTAAATTTATTGAACATTCCGAAATGGCATCTCTCTCACTTCCTCACCATTGGACTTGGTCTCGTTGGGGACGATACTGTGTTTATATGAGGCTACCTACCCGGGGACTTGGTCTCGTTGGGGACGATACAGTGTTTATATGAGGCTACCTACCCGGGGACTTGGTCTCGTTGGGGACGATACAGTGTTTATATGAGGCTACCTACCCGGGGACTTGGTCTCGTTGGGGACGATACAGTGTTTATATGAGGCTACCTACCCGGGGACTTGGTCTCGTTGGGGACGATACTGTGTTTATATGAGGCTACCTACCCGGGGACTTGGTCTCGTTGGGGACGATACACCGGATGAAGTGGGGATGAGTGGCGTTGAGGGTCCTCATCAGGTTGTTGAGCTGGTCCTGTAGGTGAGAAGTCCATAACCAAGTTACGGAACACATTCTCCATTCAGCATAAAACACTGCAGCTGAATTAGAACTTGCAGATATAACATCATAGCTGAATGGTCTCCCTTGCACAAACATGGCCTCATATGTATACAATATTTCAGCTTCCTGAAAAAGCCTACGATGCGAATTTACACTATAAACCATTATTATTACTATTATTCTAGGGACATTGTTAAAATATTTACGCTAGCAGCTTCATTAAGTGACGTATTTCTAGGAGAGATTATAGAGATAAGTAATACTGCAACTAATACGATTTCGGTTTCCATCGAGAGTGATGTGCTAGGATTGATTTGGGTGAACAAATGACTTCATTCATCTTCCAGCAACGAGACTAAGAAGCTGTGTCACAGAGAATTGTTCTTTTTAACAGTACATATCGGCAAGTGGACGCAGATTTGACGCAGTAGCAAATCTTAAGGGCGCTAGGAATGAATATGTCAAGATCAAATATTGTGTTACAGCTAACTGCACATCACATGGTTCAATAATTGTATTGATATTATTGATGTATTGATTATTGATGTATTGATATTATTGATGTATTGATGTATTGATATATATATATATATATATATATATATATATATATATATATATATATATATATATATATATATATATATATATATATATATATATGCAATTGACGATCACAAAACACTGATCATTTTATGCGGAAAATCCACAGAGAAATATGAAATGAGGTGAACGTTTCGGCTTTGTTAAAGCCTTTGTCAACACCAGACTGACTAAGGAGAAGGGAGAAGGGGGAGGATATATAGGCCGACACCTGACCAACCCTAGGGATGGGTTGGTCAGGTGTCGGCCTATATATCCTCCCCCTTCTCCCTTCTCCTTAGTCAGTCTGGTGTTGACAAAGGCTTTAACAAAGCCGAAACGTTCACCTCATTTCATATTTCTCTGTGGATTTTCCGCATATATATATATATATATATATATATATATATATATATATATATATATATATATATATAATGTCGTGCTTAATCAGCACGCATATATATATATATATATATATATATATATATATATATATATATATATATATATATATATATATATATATATATATATATATATATATATAATGTCGTGCTTAATAACCAGAATCACACTATTTGGAATAACAGGATTTATTTGAATTGCCTAACAGAATCATTCGGTCTGTTAGGCAAAATCCCAGGATTTATCCAAGGAAGTACATGATACTTTATTAAATATTTTGTTCCTATACTTCCTGCCTTTATATCTGATTTGGAAACAAAAAACTTTTTTTATTCTCTCAATTTGCTTTAGAATTGTGCGTAGCGTGGACAACTGGTTGGAACAATGGCGCATTACAAGGGTTATGGATGAGTTAACGTGGAGATATCAATTGAAAGCTATTTAACTTAAGAAATATAATGTATTGGCGTATAACCAATACTACCCACCCTGTATCCTGACGATACGGTCTTGAAGGAGCCTGATTTTGCGCCACGACCACCTGGGGAAAGCAAGAGTTGCATATTATATATATGTTTCTTATAGAATTATCAAACTGAAATTATGTTTTTATTATTAACGACTTATAGCATATGGTTTATTAAGCAAACATTTCAATACATTTTGTTCTATTAACACCAGAAAGATGAAGAGATATGGAGGTAATATGTTGGTGTAATATATTCCTTATGAAGCCATGGTAAAAAAAATAAAGCATTATGCTATTTGGTAAGGCAGCGTTGTAAATTACATAGGAAGCAGATCCTTATTATTCTTACATTATTCGTGGGCACTTTGGCATTAAATGGATATATTAATTATTAATTGAAATAATATGATTTCTTTTAAATTAGAAAACTTGAAATACAATTATTGTGAATGTATAGCAAGCAAATTATCGCAGAATTTAAAATAAACATATACTCTGATAACTTACCAGCTTTAGTGTCTCCAGTACCAGACTGGCCTGGATGGTCGAGGAAGATGGTGACGACAAGTTCGTTCTGAGACTTCTTGAGCTGGTCGACGACGGTGTCGTTGAGGGGATCCTTGTTCTTCTCCAGCCAGCCACTCAGGTTGTAAGTGACAGTACCGGCGTAGTGAACAATGGCGAAGTGGCCCTCAGCCTCGCCGGGCTTGGGTGGCTTGGGCTTGATGAACACGGGAGACTTGCCCAGATGGTTGGCGTTCAACTTCTCCTGGAAGGATTTGTCGGTAGCCTTGGGGAACATAGACTCCTCTTCCAGGATGGACAGGACACCCATTTTCTGTTGAAAGTGCAAGTGAATCTGTTGTTAACAAATATACGATGTCTTAAATCATATGATGAAATTATTGGACCGTAGGGCACATGGGGCTTTCGTTCAAGTAAGTTTATTGAGACAAGAAAAAAAATACATCTCAAAAGGATAGAGTAGCCTAGGCTATTTCTACCCCCCCTACAGGCTTTCGTTATATGATCATTTATACGCTTGAAACATGAAATTTGTATTATGCTTACAAATCCGTATAACTATCAAGATTTCACATTTATATTTATGCAAAATAATTAATATTGAGAATGTTTCTGACTTATTATGTTCGAGTAGTTCCGATCTATTATTTTAGTTTACTATAAATTCTTTTTTTATTCTTGAATCCTATAACAAAATAAAATTTAAATTGTGACCAAAATATTGAATCCTAATTTCAAGATTCACAAAATCTGAATTTTATTAGTGTGAAATCTTATATACATATATACTTACTTTCTTTTAAACGTATTTTTCATATTTTTTACTCATTTAAAAAGACGAATTTCATAAAAAAAGAATATTATTCAGATATTATCAAGTTGTGCAAGTGACAAATAATTGCACTCCTGAAGTGTTAAGAGAAACTATCAAAATGGTAAAATCAAAATTACCAGTTAAAAATTTATATAATTAGTAATAATAATTATGTAAATTTATATTTTCTTTTCTTTTGAATATTTACCTTCTCGAAGAGCTCGATGCAGGCCTGTAAGTCCATACCGAAGTCGACGAAGACCCAGTTGATACCTTCCTTCTTGTACTCCTCCTGTTCCAGCACAAACATGTGATGGTTGAAGAACTGCTGCAGCTTCTCGTTACAGAAGTTGATACAGATCTGCTCGAAGCCGTTGTACTGTAAATAAAGTCCATATATTTAAAAACTGTAAATTTGGTAAGAAGTATAACAGCAAATCTTAATGTAATCAAGTATATTGACGTCAGTTTTTATATAAAAAAAAAGCCTTGTATCGCATGCCAAAGAGGAAATGCATTGTTTTTAATTTTGGTTGATGGGAATCAAAGAAAAAGTAATTACTTTAACTCATATTCGCCCAACTGCAGTAATTTTTTATTTACAGATGTCTTTATGTTATGGTTTTGTGAAGTTAGGCCTTGATTAGGTTAGAATAGCTTAGGTTTCGTAAGGTTAGGTTGATTAAAATTGGTTTGGTTAGAATTTGCTAGATTACGTTAGGTTAGAATAGATTATGTTAGGTAAAAATAGGTTATGTTTGGGTAGATTAGGCTATATTAGGTTAGGTTAGTTTTTTCGCTCTGTGGTCAATTATTATTACTTACGTGACATGTGTGAAACACTTTAGAAAGTATGCTTATAACATAAGCTTATAAGCTACCAGCTTATAACATAAGCTTATAAGCTACCAGCTTATAATATAAGCTTATAAGCTACCAGCTTATAAGCTAGCAGCTTATAGGCTACTAGTTCATAAGCTACCAACATATAATATAAGCATGCTTATATGATATTATAATCATGTTTAGGAAGAACCTAACCTAATAACATGGGTAGAAAGGGGGTGCATCTTTAAATAAAATCTCGAACGAAATCAGCTGGGAGTCATGTATGAAGAACAATTAATTAATAAACACAGGAGGAGTGCTTGAGCATGAAATGGATTTGAGCTGTTTGTTTACAGGATGGGCTGTACATGAAACAAACTTGGCTTCCTTATTTTGAAGATAAATACTTACGTCAAAGATCTCGAAACCAGCAATATCGAGGACACCGATGAAGGAAGCACGCTTCTGGCCGGTCTCAAGCGTCTGGTTACACTTTGATACCAGAAACTTGAATACTCGATCGAACAGACCCTTGGCCAGGGCACCAATGGAGTAGTTACACTGGTTCACGTTCATGCCCTTGGCTACGAACTCGGCGCCGACCTTGATCTTGGGCTTGGTAATGTTCCTGTACAGGTCCTCACCCTCAACGCCAAGAAGCTTGGCAACTTTGTTTCCAACCTGATAAAGAGGAATCAGCGAGTTACTTTTCAACAAAATATCAAGGATATTTTATGACTGGATCAGAATTACCTAAGTATTGCCACATTATAATAAAGTTGTAATTATAATCACCTCAGTGCCGTCGGCCTCAGCCTGCTCCTCGCGACCCCTCTGCTTGAACTTCATCTCTCCCATGTGCATGACGGCGGCCGTCGCCTTGTAGACATTCTCAACTTCCGTCTTAGTGAAGCCCAGAATATCGAAGGCGTCCTAGAGCGGGAAGGTGTCAATGAAAAGATGACTTTTTATTATGTTTAAGAAAACAATATATATATATTCTAAATCGTGCATCATACGCATTTCTTTTTCTGCTGTTGCTTCTTAACCATAAAATCTGCACGTTCAAAAACACCGATGAGAAGATATATATATATATATATATATATATATATATATATATATATATATATATATATATATATATATATATATATATATATATATATATATATTTTTTTTTTAACCAGACCCAATGGAAAAAATAGGATAATCTACTTTTTTGTAAAAGGGAAGCAATTCTGTATTGAAAAAATTATTAAGGTGAATTAAAATAATCCGGTGAAATTAACGAACTCTAATAAAAAGAATGCTGTTGTGATAAAACAATAGACCTTAATTCATTTATAATTATTATCTTTGTTCATTTAAGGCAATTAAAGTCAAGTTAAGTAATGGTGCATAATTGAACACCACATTTTAAGAAATCTTTCGTATATCTTATTGTACATAACCCTAAGATTAAAACATCAGTCAAGATTTTTTCATAATTCGGGACAAAATTGCTTCTCCTCCATGGTCGACCTGACGACTGTCTAAGCCATCATCACCTTTCTCGTCATGTCGGGAAATTGGTGATGTCTTGTATTTAGTAATTAAAGTATGTTGCCTCGATAGATGAAGAACATTCTCTAAGGTAAAGATGGGATACTTTTCTACAACATTTTAGATACAGGAAAATAATAAGAGACAGAAAAGGAGTCATCGGTCGGTAGCATAATGAAACATATCAGTCCGTCTGTTTCCTTGTCAGCTTTGGACTACAGAAGACTCAGTATTAAACTTGAAAATGTTTAGGAAATAAGGGAAAAATAACAATTATCTTATCAATCTTGCGAGTTTCAACCCAAAAATAATAAATGACGAAACATCGATTAAGAGTTTCATACTCTATCGATGGTAGAAGGGGGACCGTATTAACACGCTAGGCTCCCTCACTCACGTGACAGAACTGCATGTCCTCGCCGTCATCAATAGAAGGCACGGTGACCTTTCCTTGAGACACGTAGTGATAATCGTAGATATCATCGCTAAGGAAACACATGGCTGTAGATGAGGGAAGTACAGTGTCAACAATTTACCCAAACTTCCAGAAATGAATCATAAGATCATCTTAACAGAATACAAACAACAAGACACACTTATTTGATGATGGTAAGGCAAAGCAGCCATTGATGTCACTACCATTGTAACCTGGAATAATTGATTTACAAGCTGATAGATCTCAGCATATTCTTTTCCACTTTCGTGGGTTCCGCTGGAGCAGTTGAGACATTAGCAACTGTTATATAGCACTATACTCTATCTTAAGGACGGTTGCGGTACTGGGTAAACAGAGATAATAGGTACAGGTCCCTATTCCATGTTACTTGGCACTTTTGTTCCGAGTAGCTGAATCTAAAACAACGAAATTAACTTATATGTTTATCATAGTAGCCCTTAAAAGATGTTGCTCTACATAACAAAGTCTTATGTCTCAAGTATCTTGCATGAATATTATAATTCCTCTAATTATAAAATAAAGAAATCATGAACAGACCTAACATTTCTTTTTTAACAATTACTTAGTTTGTACTCATAGGCTTTATTCAATTTTTAGGAATAATGCTTCCGGCAAAATGAAATCCTACTCCGCCACACTTTTCTGAAAGCTGATTTGAAAACATGTGTACTCGAATACGCTTTTTAGGACGTCATTGTCATTTAATCATGATACACTTTGTGGGATGAGAGAAACGTTACGAGGTGATTCGTTACACTCAACAACATCTAGATTTTGGGTATTCCATATGTGTTATAAACATCTCAGTGTTTGAATATCTTTACAGAGAAGCCGAGTAACCAGAGTCATCGACATTATTATGTAAATGCCGGTGAACTTAATCCAGAACAAAATGTATACACTAGGAAGCGGGGTAGACTTGTTAAAATCGCGGTTGAATAAATCTAATAATTGCAATGCTGTCCCAAATAAACAGAGAATATACCCCCCTCTGGATTCTAAAATATTGACAAGGCCTTGAAAATATTTGATATACATACAGTGATTAATTATAAAAATACCATTGGATAAATATTAGTAAGAAACAGAACTCGTAATAATACCGGTCGTTTATAAAATAGCCCCCCATGAAAAAAAAACTACATTTTTCTATGTAGTCCACCCTTACTAACGCTTTCCTTCTGCTTTATAAGGATAACTCTGCCAATCTTCTTCTTTAAATTAAATAATGTTTCTCAAGGTATTTTTGTCTATATTGTTTTGCTATTGATTCTTCTTGATGTTATCATTAATACCTTTATTATCTTACTTGTTGTTCCTCCTTCCCTTTTCTCGTTCCATTTCTTAATCCCAATTTTCTTATCGGTAAATTTGTGTTTACATAGTTCATGACCCTGCTTGTCTGTGAGCACTCTTTTCCTTCCCTTATTCCAGTTCCCAGGGTGGGTCTTATGTAACTTATCTCTCAAATCTGCTTACAAGCTGGCCCCAAAATGGTTGAAAGCACTTAGGCTGTTTCCTCACACTCCAAATGTTTTGCATTTAATAGATCAGCATTTCTTGATCTTATTCCGCTCGGGTAAGCCAAACGTTACGCGAGAGTAATAATATTATATAAATACAATTATATTGTTATTAACTATAAGGTTATTATCCAGTGCAAGGCCATAGTAACCCTTCTGTGGTTGGGAGCTCTTTACGCTAAAACCGAATTAAAAACTTATTATAAACATAATTAAATATGCTTCACAGCGAAACTTATTTGAGGTACAGATGTACTACATTAGGTATGATGAGACTTAAGAATCTAATTTTGAAGAGATAAACTTACGTTTGATTTCCTTGACTTGGTCAGACATCATCTCGTAGAAGATGTGGTAGGAGCGCTCGAGTGACTGCTGGGAGATGACGCGAGCCTTCTCCAGCAGGTAGACTTCGATGTCAGCACCGGACAGCTTGCCATTGGCTTGGAAGTGAATGCGGATGAACTTGCCCTATGCATAAAAAGGGATATTAGAAGCTTCGGGCTTACAACCAATCAAGGTAATTAACAAGAGGAAATCACTAAGCCAGAATGACTATTTAACACTTCAAAGGGATACGAGGTCAAGACAAGAGGACAGATTGAGGGAGCGATGCCCAAATGACTTGAACGTCGACCTGCAAGAAGCGAAGTCGGCGCTATACCGACAAGTCCAAGTACATCGACATAACAAACAAGCATTGAAGAAGCATTATTTTTTAGCAGAAATAATATTCAAGTATTCTGTTATATTTTTTATCATAACAAAATATACTATGCTGACGATGAGTCAAATATTTAGTGGGATATACCCTTTACATGGTAGAGACAACAACACAGGTTAATGCCCTCACATGGTACAAACAGCATCAACACAGGAAATTAATCTTCAAGAGTATCCGAAGCTGGTTCATAAGGCACTTAGTTTATTCTAAGTCATATTCTAATTCACTTGTTATAGCATAATAACAGAACGTTACAAGACAATATGAGTTACGAACGACCTTCAACTTACAAATCGAGAAGAGTTGTCGTTACGAACAGTCTTGGCGTTACCAAAAGCCTCGAGTACAGGGTTGGTTTGGACAATCTGGTCTTCGAGATTCTGATGGAGGAAGCAGAATAAGAATATTTATGTTATGAAACGAAACATAAAAATCTAAATGTATGTTAGTATGTAAATAGCAATTTCAAGTAATAACTAGAAAATCGTTGTAACATAAATAATTTAACCGTTTATTAACTTAATTTTTGTATATGAAAAAATGTAGTAGGAAAATAGATTATAAGAAAATAAAGTTATTTCTTACGGGTTTCTCAGCTTCCCCCTTCTTCTTGGTGGTGGCGCCGACGTTGGCGAAGTAGGAGAGCACCTTCTTGGTGTTCTCAGTCTTGCCGGCACCGGACTCACCGCTGTGGGAGGGGAAACAAAACATCGATTAGTAAACATTTGCAATAATTTACTGAATTGATGGAGACGAACTTATTTTTAGGGTGATAGCATCTTATTCGGTACAGCAATGATCTTGCTTCATGCAGGTCCTGTGTTCGATCCCCGGTGGTCCAAGTGGTTGAACACCGTTCCTTCACTTTGCCCCTCATGTTTTATTTCCTTATCCTATTACCGCTAACAAATGCAGTATTAATGGCAATAAATAGTCAAAATAAAGCCAATTTTGATTACCATGATTCACATGTTTAAGGTTCAGCAATTGACGCACTAAATTTATACATCAATATATATTGCATACTGTATGTAAATTCTTCCGTGGGTATACAGAAAAAGACTACTTATCCAGGGCATTAGGAACCTTCATTATGAAGAAAGATTAGGAAAACAATATTCACAGTTTCTATAATGGTATGTAGTGGGACGGAACACAGTAGAACAGTAGGAATGTAAAGAAAGGTTTAACAACGGAGATATAAAAAAAACATATAAGCCAAAGTTAGAAAAATGAAACAATGAAATCAGAATTAAACAAAAATAACTAAAGACTAGTACAGAAAATATTGTTTTGTTTAATTCATCAAGTAATAAAAGGCACACAAGTAAGAAAATATAATATGTGACTTACGTGATGAGCATAGACTGGTTCTCACCGACTGTAAGTAGAGAGAATGCAGAACATTAACAGATAATCCTCCCTGTCCCTTCCTCACCCCTAACCCTCCCTTTTCCCCCTTCCCTTGACCCCCCCACCCCTCGCCCCGAAATCCTCTGAGAGCCTATTAAAAACTCACAAATTCCCTCCCCAACCCCTGATCTACCTTCCCCCCCCCCACTCCCAGATACCCCAGCATTCCCCAACCCATGACCTCTCCCCCCCTTATTTAATAAGTTATGAAATTTTTATAATTAACTTATTAAGTTATTATAGCAAAAAATTAAGTTATTATAGCAAAAATTTATGAAGAAATGAGGCTTTAATTGCAAGTTCAAATAGTAAAATATGTTGCAGAAATGCATCACTGGTGTTCCTTCAGCAAGATATAAAAAAAATCGATACAGCAATATACAGCAAAATCGATACTGTAATAGATAGTACTGCAACAAGGTGCAATAAGTGATTTTGCAACAAAATATGAAATATGGCGTTGCAGAGTGATGTAATTAATTCTGCAACAAGATTTAGTAAGTGATGCTGCAATATGATTTAATAAGTAAAATTACAACAGTATGTAATAACTGTTATTGCACCGTGAAAATAAATGATGTTGCAACCAGATTTTTAATTGATGCAGCAACATGATGAAATAAGTGATGCTGCAACATGATGAAATAAGTGATGCAGCAACATGATGAAATAAGTGATGCAGCAACATGATGAAATAAGTGATGCAGCAACATGATGAAATAAGTGATGCTGCAACAGGATGTAATAAATGATGGCGCAACATATTCTCAAGAATGATAGAGGAAGATGTTGGGAAGCGTGAAGAGGGAGATGTGGAAGATAAATGTTACTAAAAGCTATTTTAGATTTGTTCTAAAATAAACATATAGTCACTTATGTACCCGAACAGGTAATTGGGATAATATCTCCCGAGTTTAGGTCATCCTTGGAGGAGTTTGGGTTTTTGAAATTCTCCTTAATGCTATAGAATTGATCATATTTTTCCCTTAGGTTTTCTTGTGAGATATCAATTAATCCTGTGAGGCATGATTTTGCCATCCCTGAACCCATGTTGATGTGAGATATGAGAATTTGTGTATGTATGAGCACTTGTGGAAAAACTGTAGGTTACAGTAATCTTGTACTTACGCTGCATCATGTTCATGTAGGCGCCGTCAGCGATAGCGAAGAGATGGGGAGGCACTTCGTTACGCCTCTTGCCCTGGTAGATCTTGACCACGCGGTTGGTGTAGATGGGGTAGCGCTTGTAGGGGTTGATGGCGATACAGAAGAGACCGGAGTAGGTGTAGATGAGCTTAGCGACGTAACGGGTCTTCAAGTTGTAGAGGACGGAGGCATCGTTCAAGTAGGTCAAGTTGGACATGTCCTCGCATTTCTCGTACTTGGGAGGGTTGACTTGACCAACAAGATCCTTCTTCCAGTTCTTGGTCTCACCCGCGGCGTAGACTGTGATAAGGTCACCCTTGGTGCCTTGAATCTCACCCTCGATGAAGCCATCCTTGTCATTCGGGACCCAACAAGACTTTTTCGGATCGTAAGGCTTGCTCTGGTCCAGCATTTTCTGCTCCGCTGAGATGAACAGGAATTCCGTGGGGTCGGGATCGGGCCCCGTGCTCTTCTTAACGTGGCCAGGCATGCTGTCGCTCGCTGCTCACACGTTACTCAACTACGGCTTGGTGGGGGTGATCAGGTCCTGTAATGATATCACAAACATTAGTTCACTCTCACGAAGCGTTTTACGTCATAATCCAACTCCCTTAAACTTTATGTAGTTAGTTTTCTACGCAATACAAGTTGATGTAAAGACATGTATTCAGTTATGAAGATTCGTGCATGTGGTGTTGACTGTGGGCTGTGTATACCAGCATGTTTGTGGTCTGTGTTATATGTGTATACCAGCATGGTTGTGGTCTGTGTTATATGTGTATACCAGCATGGTTGTGGTCTGTGTTATATGTGTATACCAGCATGGTTGTGGACTGTCCATCATGGGTATACCAGTCTGTGGACTGTCCATCATGGGTATACCAGTCTGTGAACTGTCCATCATGGGGTATACCAGTCTGATTGTGGACTGTCCATCATGGGTATACCAGTCTGTGGACTGTCCATCATGGGGTATACCAGTCTGATTGTAGACTGTCCATCATGGAGTATACCAGTCTGATTGTAGACTGTCCATCATGGAGTATATCAGTCTGATTGTAGACTGTCCATCATGGGGTATACCAGTCTGATTGTGGACTGTCCATCATGGGTATACCAGTCTGATTGTGGACTGTCCATCATGGGTATACCAGTCTGATTGTGGACTGTCCATCATGGGGTATACCAGTCTGATTGTGGACTGTACATCATGGGTATACCAGTCTGATTGTGGACTGTCCATCATGGGGTATACCAGTCTGATTGTAGACTACATCATGGGTATACCAGCCTGCTTTAAGACTGAATTCACTTGGCAGGTGTTCACTCTTTTCTTTTTCGTTGCGATAAATAATGCAAAACATTTGTCATTCAACAATCGAATAGTTCACACTAATATCTTATATCTTGAAGAGAAATTTGTTATTTCTGACACGAGTTTTCATATCTCTCTTTATATATATATATTCTCAATCACCGAAACGAAAATCACTTGGAAACACTAAGTCCGCAAAAATCGCTACAGCCTAATATTATCATTGGTATCTGCACTGTTATTACTTACGATGATCTCGAGAGAATTACACACACACACACGCCTGTCCCGCACACCCACTGGAGGCCATCTGAGGGAAGCTCTCAGAGTACCAATACCAGGTAAGGTGAGAGGCCAGGGTGGATAAGTTTCTCCCCTGGTAAGAATAGCCTAGGGCGAACACAGTGACCATTGCCATTGAAATGCTTTAGACTTGGCACACCGGGGCCTGTAGCCCCTATAGAGGATTCAACAAGAACAAGGATTTTAGGGTAATAATTAGCTTTTAGTAAGGGTGTTTTAGATTCAGAATAGGTAAGTGTGTGGTATTAAATACGACGTATGTTGTGTTAGACTTTGTGCATGTTGTGATGCGGTGTTAAGAAATGGTATTCAATAAACTTCATAGCCTTGCTCGTAGTAAACTGGCTCCAGCCAGTACACAAATTTGTCATCCTGTAATAAGGGACGCAAGGGTTGTCTATCTACTAAAAGATGTCTTTGATAATTTATTTGTCAACCGACATCACATATGTTTTGTTTTGAAAATTGTGCAACTGATATGATCATAAGAGGGGTGTTTTGAAGTCATATGCTTCATCCATTTTGTATCATATTATTTGTACCAGCGATAGCCATGGATGAATAGAGTGAGAACCGTCTAATCTTAGTATACTGGGAGTCTACTGCTACGCTGGCCGCCATCCTGAACATTCCCTCGGCATACCGCTTGCCAACTTTCGCTGTTGAGCTGATATCCTGTAACCAAAACAACAGCCTATGCCAACCGGTTTCCTCCTCTGACATTGCCCCTCCTTTTCATGCATTTCCACTTCCTGCTTTAGTGATGCTTTTCGCCCTGCAGCCACAATGCTCGGGCCAGGAGGCGTATTCGTTAATTTTAACGTACTGAGAATTACAAATTTGTATTTTCCCAAATAAAAAGTAATATTATTATATACCAGAGGGTGTTGAATAGTTAGGCTTAACTTAGGTTAGGTTAGGTGGTTAGGCTCTGTTGATCACAGTGCGTGGATGAAACATTTAGAGAGTAATATGTGTATAGCAGCCTGATCTGATACGATTCGGTCAGAGAAAGTGAACGAAGCACTTTTTTATAAAAACTTTACCGGCATCAGCTGTGAGTCGCGTGTCAAGTGCTTTTCATCCATTAACGCGGCGTTTGCAGACAACTCCCGGGAACCTACTTATTACAAAGCGAACAGTTGCGTTAGGTAAAAGGGAACGTCCATCCTGCCCAGGAATCAAACCCAGGATCCCCAATTGCAATTTGAGATCGAACCCAAATTTCCCAGTATAGGCTACTGATCACACGCCTCATAAGTGACTTATCATCCTGTGAGATATCAGGAACTGAATGTGCATATAAAATGAAGTCATATATATATAATTGATAGCTTAAACAAGACCTGAAATTGTTGATCAAACCACACACTATAAATTGAAGAGACGACGACGTTTCGGTCCGTCCTAGATCATTATCAAGTCGTATGCCCTGAAATAAACAAAATAGACTGAAATCAGGAAATCATTCTGAAATAGACTGAAATCAGATTGATAGACCTGAAATTCCTTTGAGCAAAGTTGATCATCGGAGCAGTGCCAATAGGACAACTTTTCATATCCAATATTTAGGTCTCTCGTGATGTAGTCTGTGATCTATGGTACAAACAATAGGAACTCTGCACAAATACTTCCGTGAAATCCTGAGGTTGGTGAATTTTTTTACGATTCAAGTAAGCCAAGTTACAAATGTTTGTTGGTACCTACAGCTGAATAGACAGAAAAGAATTATTGAACAATTTTCATTACAGATATTGGATTGTTGTAGGCGGATGTGATCAATCTTTAAGAGCAATCGCTAATAGTAATGAGACTTGCCTCATCAAATTGTAACGCTAAGAAAACTGATGCAATATATACATAAAATGATTGCGACTAGGCGGTTTTATAATACTATTGCTGTGATTGGTATTTTAAAACAATCATTAGCTCTTCCAACCGAACGACTATAACTGCGGTAGCTGAGTAGACCACCAAGCTATTTGAGGATGGTGGACCTTACTATCCTCAAATAGGTAAGCTCCACCAACCTTACCTATTTGAGGATGGAGAAGAAGTAATCTGCTCTTTTTCTAGGCAGGCATGAGGACCTACTCCTTCAAGAAATAAAGGAACTCATTTCGGGATCTTCTTACTAACGTCACATCAGACGAGAAATATATCGTTCCAAATTTAAACGTCTAAAGGAAAATCCTAAACACTTCTGAAAAGTAAATATATATATATATATATATATATATATATATATATATATATATATATATATATATATATATATATATATATATATATATATTCTTAATAGCATTTAAGTTGCACTAATCTTCAACATCCAAAACGCAAATCGTTGACCTCTGTCTTAACTATTCTCAGCCAGGCCACAACAGCTTCCGGGGCTGTGCTGGTGATGGACCAGGAAGCCAGAGTATACTCATTCCTTCAACCTTGATACAGAGGAGTATACTCATTCCTTCAACCTTGATACAGAGGAGTATACCCATTCCTTCAATCTTGATACAGAGGAGTATACCCATTCCTTCAATCTTGATACAGAGGTACAAGTAACAACTTACTCTTTCACACAGTAAGACATTCCTACCTTAAACTATATGAAGGTCTCATAGTTATCGCCCACTGTTTGGGCGATAACTTTTTGTTTTTTGGGGATTTATTTATTGGGTGATTAGTTGTTTGTTGTTGGCTGATGTGCAAATTTTTGTTTTAAATTTTTAGGTATTTTTTGTAGTTAATTTGGGCGATTATTTTTTATTTATTGATTGGATTTGCTGCTCTGTGAGTTTTTTGTTGGGTGATTAATTGTATTTTTTGGGGGGAGGGGTAAATTTTTATCCTTTTTTTAGGGCAACTTTTTAGTTTTTCTCGTGATATGTAGTTCGACAATTTGCATTTTTTCTTGGACGATTTGATTTTTTTGTGGGTTAACAGTGGTAAAACAGGTAGTGGGCAACAGTGGTAAGACAACAGTTAACTCCAGGGTGTTCCAGCATATATTAACTATATATAATATAATGCACAGTCTTGGAATGATGGGTGAAATAGCCTGCACAGTGTTGCAACATTAATATATGCTACTTGAGCTTGTAATATTAATAACACTATGTTGTACATTCTTGCAACATTACAATAATATGTTGCATGGTATTGCACAGTCTTGTTTCATTGGTAATTAAATATTGCATAGTGCTGATATATCATCAATAACAAGTCTCTCTCTCTCTCTCTCTCTCTCTCTCTCTCTCTCTCTCTCTCTCTCTCTCTCTCTCTCTCTCTCTCTCTCTCTCTCTCTCTTTCTCTCTCCTTCCAAGTGCTATATAGTCGTGATGGCTTGGCTCTTTCCCCCTGATAGTTCCCTTCTCTTTGCCTAAATGAATTATGTACTAGAAAATTATAAACTAATTCAGTTATAAATATGCAACCAATTATGAATGATGTTACTTATTGATTGATTAAAATTTAAAAGCTAAAAGTTGTATTCCTTCCTGTGAATGGCTGTAGCAAATACAAACGTCTTTAAACCTTTTTTGGGAACGTACATATACCGAGGACATGCTCAGGATTCGTCTTGTTGAAGAAACTGGATAAAGTTGATTCGTAAACAACCATCATATATTCTTACAAGAAATTCTTCAATGAATTGATCAACACACAGGCAACATCCAAGTGACATGGATGTCTCTGTATTGTCCGCTTTTCTCTTCTCAGTCAGTCGCAAGGATCCACCAAAGATTGGCAACAGAGACAGGCCAAAGTCGTAAATATTGTACGTGATACTGTCAATGTTGCTCTCGCCTTCCTGTCTTTGAGTCTGTCATTCGCCGGACAGGGTTCGCCAAACAACCGTCCGTGTAATGCCACCTGTCTCATATATTTGACTAAAACAAAGCTTTTCTGTAACCGAAGCATTGTATTGGCAAGTTTCCTCTGAAATATGGCTGAAAGACGTACAATGTTTGAAGATGCCACGAGTGAGTTTTTTCAACTGGAATTTGTCGCAATGTTTAATCTGGCTTCCTGCACTAGGCTGCGCTACCAGTACAGGGCCCAGATTCACGAAAGCACTTACGAATCTGTACATCTTTTCACAATCTTTGGCGGCTTTGTTTCCAATTATTAAACAGTTAATGAGCTCCGAAACACCAGAAGGCTGTTTATAACAATAACAACAGTTGAATGGGAAGTTTTCGTGCTTGTAAACTGTTTAATAAATGTAACTAAAGCCGTCAAAGATTAAGGAAAGATGTACACGTTCGTAAGTACTTTCGTGAATCTGGCCCCTGGTCATTATCCTGACTAGTTCTTCCAGAGCCCGTCCTCAGAGCAAATCCATTACCATGAGAAACCACACTTCCCCATCCCCCTCAAACGACCTGGATAGTTTTCTATATATTTTTGATAGTTTGAAAGCATATTACGGTTCCAGTAATAGTCTACTTGTAAACTGCCAAGGGAAAGTTTGTCCTAAACATATTTTATTCTCAAGTTATAACTTTATTATATTATAAATCGTTGGTTTAGAATATAACAAGTATATGCTAAAAACGTTTCTTTGAAGACTTTAGTTTTCTGTAATTGGAGTTCTCTGCTACACTGACATAGTTTTCGAATTCTAATTTCACATTAGCGTCAATAATATATCATATTAATGTAACCAAACATAATGAAACCTAACCTAACCGAATCAAACTTTAACTTAGAGTAATCTTACCCTAAGCATGGATCGATAGAGAGTAAATAATAGTACTAATTAATTATGTAGTTCTCAATCCATTCCCGTGAGCAGATTTCCTCCCTGAGGACAGGTCAAGATGAAGCCAAGAACTGCCTCATCATCATTAATCACTAGCAACTATCACCTCACGGGGTTGTGTCTTCATTCAGTTGTGCTACAATAACAGGTCCTGCAGTTTGTACCCTTGTGTTATTTGAGTTACCATGACGTATAACTGAATGAGGTTAGTATAGGGAGATTCCTCCCCTTTAAACCCAAGTTTTTTTTTCCAGCTATGGAGTTTATTCTTTCTAGGTAGTTTCTATGCTTCTATTTCCATTCACCTGGGCTGTATGGGTCTCGAACCCATGTGTGTGAGACCGACGCTCTATCAACTGGGCTATGAGCAGTCTTATAAAGGAACGTTTCCTGAAGCAGCACCCTGCTGTTAAACTGGAATTTTCGGCTTTCTGCTTTCTATTATTTTTTCTAGACATAAAGCAAGGAATGATGTTTGTAGACAATTGAAATTGTCCATCGTACACATCTACCATTTTCTTGTTGTTTGGCAGCTTTCCCGCCTCCAGAGGCATAGTGTATTGATTGGTGTGTGAAGAATGTCTGGTGTTTTATTTGAAGTATTCATACTGATGTTTACAGTGTGGCAAGTTCAGGGTTAGGCTTCCTCTTGTATGTCTCGTCTGCTGTTATGGTGCTTTAATGCTTGCCGACCTGTTCTCGTCTCACTTCTATGAGTAACAGCACACACCAATCTTGTGCATTCTGCTCTGAGCATGTGCATGTGCATGTGACTGAGTGTCTTCAATTTATAAAGGTCATATTTATGGCATTAATGCAAGATTATGGCATAAAATTTAATACCATAGTCTTGGCATTAAATTCCATAATTTTGCTATGTATTTTTCCCTCACATTTCCCCCCATTTCATGATGCAATTTAGTTTTTTTGTATATTCCCAAATGAGTAACCAAATTGATCTCTTAATTTGTTTCTGTTTCATTTTTTTAAATATTTGATCAGCTGCTCAAATGCCTAAAGTGACTTCTGTCCCTCAGAGACTCGTTATATTAAATGAAAAATCTTAAATAACATATTTATTCTTGTATGTAATTATAAAGTCCAATGTCACAAGTTTTGTGGCACCAATTACTGCGTAACATACTAGATTTAGGATCCCTATATTGTTTCAAGCGTAGGTTAGACATATATATGAATGAGATTGGGTGGATGTAAATAGGAGCTGCCTCGTATGGACCAATAGGCTTTCAGGAGTTAGCTTCATTTTTATGTTCTTAAGTTCGTCTCTTCCTTTTATCTTCTTTTATTGCTTTTAAGTTTTGTCTCCGCTTTGAGGAGTCTTAAGTTTCCCAGTTAATTCCATCACAATCAAAATATCCGTGAATTGGTAATTTAGTTTTTACATTGTGTGATCTCTCTCTCTGATACCCTCTTAAGATAAAATCGGCACACACGTCTTCTCTTTTCAATCTCACGTCCGTAACTGATTGATGATTGATGAAGATTCAGCCACCCAAAAGGTGGCACGAGCATGGATAGCCCGTAAGTGGTGGCCCTTTTGAGCCATTACCAGTATCAATAGACGATACTGGAGATCTGTGGAGATGCGACTGCACCCTGCGTGACGGGAGATGTCTCCCGTGTGTACTGTACGCGTCCGTAACTCGTCATGCTGTGTTTTTATTAGGTCTTCCCTCCTTCCTTTCCACCTCATCTTCTCTTCTAAGTACTGGAATTCCCTCAGGAAAGAGACCATTCATGATTTACATAAATTGCGGTGTTTGAAACTGTTGTTTGATCTGGTTTGATCAGCCACTCACCTTTCAGTTCTTTGTTTGTGTTTATTTAAGTTGGGGGATATATGGTGATTAATTTAACTCTGAAGAATGTAGGTCAAAGGTCACGATTCAGCGTGAAAATTGTGTCGAGTCTGAGAATTGAACTCAGCTAGTTGTGCTTGCGGGGGATTGAGCTTCGGTTCTTTGGTCCCGCCTAATTGTGTTGTCGTGAGGGGTTTCTTGTTGTCTGGGAATGCCTCAGTTCACGTTATTGGAGGCCAAGTGAAGGTCTCGTAGCGTACTTTTCATCTCAAGTGAAGGTCTCCTAGCGTACTTTTCATCTCAACTGAAGCTTGATGTTACTGGCCTTTTAATCTCATAGAACACTGATTGGGTGTTATCTAATTCTTTATAAAACAAGGTTATTGAAAGAATATGAGTGCATCTGTTTTACCAGAATGGTACTAGCTGTAATTATGAATGTCTGTAACATATAGTTACTTTGCAAAGTTTGACAAGCACAGTTTGCCTGTAGATGCAAGTGACATTGCTGTGACTGTTTCATACAGTTGCTTTTTTAACGCATGTGATTTTCGAAGAGCACAGAGGCCTATAGCCACGAGGAAGGTGAATGATATTATTGAACGTCCTGGAAGGAAAACACTAGTTTCTAGTAATTTATAATCAAATAAAGGCTAATAGTTTCTCTTTGTTTACTTATATATATATATTTTTAAATGCATGTTATTGTTTTAAAAATAAAACGGAGTTTGAAAACTGTTCATATAAATCTAAAAACAATTATATAAAAGAGAAATATAGTAAAGTGGTGGGTATTAAGTTCCTTCCAAAAGTTTGTTTGAACTTCAATCTTGCACCTATTACAAGTGATTATACAGCGCAAGTACTTAAGCTATCAAAGGTAAGCTTATTATATTGTACTCTCTATGTACGTTATTAGACTCTGGCTTGCGGTGGAGCGGATTCGATTCTCCGCGTCCTCCAGCTCCTGCTGCGCCTTGCGGTACTTGGCTACGTTCAGAGCGGCTATCTCTTCGGCCTCGTCTATCTGGTGCTTGTAGGACGTGGTTTTCTGCTGCAGCTTATCAACGAAGTCTTGCATCGTTTCGTAAGACTTCTTGTACTCATCTGTCTGGGATGAAAGTTCCTTGATGGTTCTCTCACACTTCCTCAGGTTCTTCTGGGCCTCTGCGTGGGCAACACGCTCGGTGTCCAGTTGTTCTTCCAGATCCCGAACTCGAGTTTCCAGTCTGCCAACGGTAGTTCTTCCATACCCTTCGGCAATGGCTTCACTTTCTTGAACGCGAACTTGCAATTCTCGGACGGTTACTTCCAAGCCCTTGCGTACGCCTTCTTGAACATGGGTGTGTTCTTGTTCGACTCGCAACTCGTCAGCTAGGCGTGCTGCGTCAAGCATCGCCTTCTTCCCTTTATCCTCGTAGTTCCTTGCCTCTTTAGCCAATTCATCCAGGTCGGTCTGTTGTGATGAGGAAAACTTATGTCAGGAAAATGCATTAATTTCACAACACACAGAAAATACAACAATAATGCCTTCGCTATTTACAATTATATATATATATACAACATAATCAATATATATTGTCTAATCCTATACAAGGATGAAACACGCATACTTACACGAAGGGACGAGACTTCGTTCTCAAGTTTTCTCCTTAAGACAGATAGATTATTGTTTTCTGTCGTGAGTTTCCTGACCTGGAGATGAGCATCAGAGAGGTCGGAGTCAGCTTGACGACGACTGCGGTCTGACTGCTCTAGCAGCGTGCGAGCCTCCTCCAGCTCTATACTTAGAGTGTTGGCCTTGCGCTCAGCGGAACTAAACTGTTCACGGTAATCAGAAGCGAGGCGCTGTTGTTCGTCGAGACGCTGCTGCAGTTCATGGATTTCGGTCTGATGTTTTTTTAATTGCTTCTGCAGGTTTGTATTTGCCTTATTGGAGTGATCGAGAGCAACTTCCAGTTCACCGATATCTGACTCCATCTTTTTTTTCAGTCGAAGTGCTTCTGCCTTGCTTTTGGCTTCACTCTGAAGGGAAGCTTGTAGGGCGTCAATGGCGCGCTGATGAGCCTTTCTGTAAATAAATATATATGATAAATTATATCAAAGTATGGAGGATGAGCTGAAGTATAACATATGTGATACCATTACAATAACATTATATCAAAGATGTGATGTATGTCAAACATATCACAAGAAACATACACATTACTTACCGGGTGGCTTCAAATTCATCTTCTTTTTCCTGGATTCGTTTTTCAATTTCTTGTCTGACTTGATTGAGCTCATACTGACTACGTGACGTTCTGTTCTCCTCTTGTTCGAGGGCAGCCTCGGCTTCCTCAAGAGCGGCCTGAAGCTCATCTTTCTCGGTTTCAAAACGCTTGGCGCTTTTCTGGGCTTCGATGAGAGCCAGGTAGTTCTGGTTAGTCTGGTCCGTTAGCGTTCTGAGCTCGTCAGAAATACTCTTATTTTCGCGACGAAGGGATTCAAATCGTTCTTGGTTCTCCTCGTACAGGGCGTTAATACGAGAATGTTCATTGGCGTAATTGCGGCACTCCTTTTGTGAAGCATCGAGTTCGCCAGCAAGGTCGTCTACCTTTATTTTCCATTCACCAACTATCCTATCAAAGTTATATTGCCTTTTTTCAGCAGCAATTGCCATGGCTTGAGCTCGATCAACCTCAACCTGAACGTGCTCGAACTCAGAGGTGATACGCTGCCGGTTCTTCTCCAGGTTGAGGTTTTTGAGATTAAGCTCTTCAATCTGCGCCTCTGCTTCGTCAAGGCGGGCGACCAGCTTGAGGCGCGTTGCTTCCAGCTCCTCAGCCTTGGCAACGCCCTCTGACTCGTACTTGGCACGCCACATTTGTGCCTCAGCTGAAGACTTGGAAATTTGACGCATCAAGTCTGATTTTATTTCATTCTCTTCGTCCAGTTGCTCTCGAAGACCTTCAATGTCAAATTCCAGGTTGCGATATTTGCCTAGAAGATTAACACGGTTCTGTGGAATGAAGTCAATGTTTTAACTCTCAAAACATCATAAATACGCAATTGACGCTCTTTTTACACTAATATTTGTTTATGGTGCGTATACGCATTCATATGCACTCTCCTAATTGTGCTAACCTAACAGCGCCTGCAAGACCAAGCGCCTGCTCTGAGGCCTTTATGTATATGATAGATTATTGTCCCCTATTGTCATTATTTCCACAATACTGTTATATTCATTTGTTTAACATTAAAGCTTATGTTAATACTAAACACCCTGTGCTACTCGCACTCATTATTATAAATAACATTTGAAATAAATATCCTGTTTATTCATTTAATATTATTATCGCCACCTGTTTAATACTATTTTATACCAAAATATCGAAATTTGACATATATGTTTGACAATGATAATTATGATCGTTTTAATAGTTTGCGAGAAATATGTGATGTTTATACACGACGACAGTGGGCTGTCTGACGTGTATAAACACGTCTGTCACGACTGACCGTCTGGTCAAGTTGACGGACCTTTTACCAGACCTCGCTGGGTAAAGACTTACCTTGATCTCGCTGTCAGCAAGTCTCTTACTCTCTACGACCTGGTTAGTGAGGGAGAGCTTGAGGGTGGTAAGTTCCGCCACTCTGTGCTCCGTCTCGTCCAGCTGGCGGACGAGGTCGGCGTTCTCAACAGCGAGCTTCTTCCTGGTGGCGTCGTGGTCGCCCAGGGCGCGAAGGGCCTCTTCCAGCTTGAAGCTCGTCTCGTTCAGCTGTTGTGTCAGCTGCTTGTTGGTTTTCTCAGCGTCAGCCTGTGGGATGAATTTGTTAGCATTTTTCTAGCTGATATCTTGGTGGAACAATGTCTGAAATGGGGTTACGTTATCATCTTCGTCTCATTATGTTACGTTACGTTATCATGTTCCCGAAACGCTATGCGTGGCTTTGAAAGATTACAAGGCTTTGTACAAATTACAATCTTATGTAATATCATTAACCCATTGTATCTTCTTGTGAATAAATTATTATTAATATTATCTTATAAGGTATTATAGGAATAGTGGAGTTACCTATATCATTTAAATAATTGTATTTATGTGTCATATATTTTGTATAGATGCATGGAAGTGTATAAGCACGCACATCAATACGAGGCATCGGAAGTAATTCATATAAATGTCAACATTTGGGAAAATCTTTGTGGAGTGAGAATAGCATTGAGGAATGAGGCTGGCAATAAGTACCTTATCTCGGGCGAGGCTACTGAGGCCAGCCTTGGCATCACTTAAGTCGCTCCTCAAGGACTCTTTCTCCTTCTCGTTCCTGTTGGGTGAAGTTATTAAATAAATTAATAACCTTTAAATACAAGAACATAACTCAGAACCTAAAAACCAGAATGGTTTGAGTTATATTCAGAATATATTCTTTGATTCTTTGGTCCTATTCCTATTTTTTTTATCTTTATTTAAGAAAATACAATATAAATTACATATACATAAGTATTACAAGGCAATTATACATTACAATTCTTAGTGAACAAGTGTTTCAGTAGTACAGAACAAGATCTTAAAAAAAAAAACACCTGAATGTTATACTTATTTACCTATAAACGATTTACAAAAATTGGAGAATAAATTTACATTAAAATACAGGGGAAATTATTACATTTATATATATTTTATATAATTCTCAGTAAACAAATTTTCCATATCATCACCGAGCATGAGCCTTAAACCCCAAATGTTATACCTGATCCTGCTGACTTGCCTGGCTTTCACCTTGTTGAGAGTGACTATCTGCTCTGACATTTCGGCGACGGCATCAGTGTGTTTCTTGCGGAGAATATTGATTGAAGTGTTGTGTTTGGTGTTGCTCTCCTCAAGGTCTCGGCGGAGCTTAGCCAGCTCAGCCTCCCGCTTTCTATTCAGCTCGATCTGGGCTTCGGTGGCTCCTCCAGCCTCCTCCAGACGACTTGCGGATTCTGAGAGTTCGCGTAGTAATCTGGTCTTCGCCTGTTCAGCCTTGCTGCGTGCTTCACGCTCGTCTATAAGTTCTCGCTCAAGATTTTCAATACGTGTTTGGAATTCTTTGTTTTGTCTGTTGTACTTGGAGATGATTCCATGTTCCTCCTCAACCTTACTTGTAAGCTCGAAAATTTCTTTATCCTTGCGATGAATAGTGTCCTCAAGGTCTTTACGGGAGCGTTCAAGATCAGCGACAGTTTCTTGAGTCAGCTTAAGGTCATTGTCAATTTTGCGCCTTATCTTGTCTCCCTCACCTCGGAGCTGCTTCTCGCGATCAAGAGACTCCTCGAGTTCATCAAGAGTTTGTTCCAGCTTAGTTTTTACGTTGTTGAGATGAGTACATTTGTCTTCGATGCATTGAAGATCTTCAGCCGTCTTCTGATTACACTCCTGAAGGTGTTTCTTCTCTTTCTTCACTTGGTTAATAAGTTCTTCCTGGTGCGCAATTTCTTCAGCGAGGGTTCTAATTTGATGATCTTTTGCCGCCTTGTCTTGTTCTACTTGATGGGTAACACATTCTTTGTTCTCCAGCTCCTTCTTCAGGGCTTTTAGCTCTTGTTCCATTTCTTTCTTGCTATCGGCAAACTTTTTGCGGGTTTCTTCTTCTTGGCGAAGACGATCTGTGGCATCCTGTAACAATGATTGTATAAATGCACAATAAATGTACGTAAATGATTCTATAAGTGTACATGAATGATTGTATGTACGTTCTCATGCATGAATGATTATAAAGTGTACATGAAAGTAACTTACATATAAGAGAATGTTTTTATTTTTCTGTATCATAGAGGAAATTTGTATATAGTTGAAATTATATTAATATATACATACAATATTATTCGTTCGAATTCACCAATTATTTACATTGTTACTTTGGATTATTATAGTTTTTAGTGTTTCTATGTTTATTAACATGTAATTTCTCAATAATGTTCTTACAAATTTAAAAATAATAACACTCACGTCAAGTTGAGTCTCCAGCTCGGCTTTCTGGCGCTGTAGTTTGGCTTGTTTTTCCAGGTATTCAGACATATTACCTTTGGTGGACTCGAGGGAAAGTAACAGGTTGTTTTTCTCTTCTTGAAGAGCGGCGATGGTGGACTCAGCTTCTTTGCGAAGCCTGGCCTCGGTCTCGTAGTCCGCTAGAGCCTTTGCGGCCTTCTCCTCGAGGGCGCGCATCTCGTCCTCGATACGAGTAACGTTGAGGAGAGGCTTGACCTTTTGCCAAAGGGTGAACCAGGCCCAGGTGCGCATCTTTAGGAAGTTGCGTAGACTGCGCTGGACGACGACAAGGGAGACGCGCTGATCCTGGAGTTTCTTGTATTCCTTTCGCCCGATGAAGCCGCGGACCCAGGCCTGCAGCCAGGATATTATCTTACTCAGGCGGTCGTCACGGATCTCCTCCAGGGTACCCAGAACTCCAGCACGGAAGAACACCTGAAGAACGTACATAATAAGTAAATAGAAACATGTACATTTATAATGACTTAAAATCAAACTTGCAGTCCAATAAAAATAAAGCACAAACTGTTTAGTATATTGTAGGGCTACACTACTCTAGATACCCCTTAATGATTCCTAAACAAGTGTACCTTAGTGTTGCCCAGGCGGTAGAGTTCTTCTTCCAGCCCGGCTTTGTCGAAGCAAATTTTGGCGGCTTTTTTGTCGTCAGGCGTCTCACTCATCTCCTTAGAGGCCAGGATCTTGTATCTTTAAAGTGAGAAGCCAGAGAATATTTACGAATGATTCATATTATCCTATTATATCCAATAATGTTTCCTCGTTCTTAAAAGCAATACGAAAATGTTATGTTGACCAAACCACACGCTAGAAAGTGAAGGGACGACGACGTTTCGGTCCGTCCCTTCACTTTCTATTGTTATAATCGACTTGAGGACGGACCGCAACGTCGTCATCCCTTCACTTTCTAGCGTGTGGTTTGGTCAACATATTTCAGCCATGTTATTGTGACTCCTCGTCTGCACAAAAATGTTATAATCTGTGTGAGTGTATGCGCGTCAACTCACCGATGCTTGAAGTCAGGGTACAACATCCTGTTGGGGAAGCCCTTACGACAGATACGGATGCCCTCAAGCACACCGTTACAGGTCAGCTGGTGCATGACAAGACCCGCGTCAATCACACCTGAGTGCAAGAGGAGACGTTACACTGTATTATTATCCTTATAGTCGATAGGGTCCCTCCACAGACATACATATTTGAACTGCACGTATGGCATCCAAGCCGTGAAGTTTTGGTCACGGGAAAATGAAGCTTAAGAATTTTTAAAGAGTTGTAACCAAAAAAATAATAAACTATTGGGTTATTATTGCCTTACCAAGAAATTTGGTCTCATTGGGCACAGGCCAGTGTTTATATGAGGCTACCTACCTGGGGACTTGGTCTCGTTGGGGACGATGCATCGGATGAAGTGGGGATGAGTGGCGTTGAGGGTCTTCATCAGGTTGTTGAGCTGGTCCTGTAGGTGAGAACGGCATGTCAAGGGTTTATCTGAAGCTAAATCTGAACTCATTTCATGAGTGCACTACAATAATTTCAGTAGATAGCCATATGAAGGACACTTTCTAGACATCTTCTACGAGCATGAAGGAGTTGGAACTAGTGTTACAATGTGTGTATTTACCTATTTGTGCCTGCAAGATGAAGCTGTTTGCATTTGGACTCCGCCTATACAACCGTCGGTTGTCTAATGTACTGACTCTAACCTATTTTTTCTCATATCTGCTCTATATTATAAACTCGTGTGTGTGTATATATATATATTATAAAAAGTAGTACACTGTAATACATTTACTAAAACATGAGAAAACTGATAAGGTGGGCTAATAGCACCTGGAAGCTGGAAGCCTAACGCCAAGCCTCACCTACTCACCCGGTAATTTGAGGAAACTGTCTTGAAAGATCCAGATTTTGCACCTCGACCACCTGAAAGTACAAGAGATGTGTATGATAAATTTCTAATTACTGTACCTTGTATATTCTATTGTATTATTATACTTCGTTTATCCTACCATTATATAGCAGTATTATGGTAATTTATCAGATATATATATATGTTCAAAATCTCTGTGGCAATATTTTGATGTATATGTAAAATAGTAAATATGATTTATGTTTATTTTTAGCATGTACTTAAAAAACACAACAGTATGTATGGTGTGATTTGAATGTCAACAACAAGCGAAGGTCCAGAGACCCTTTTATGACAAATATCAAGGCGGAGACATCAATCTGGGGGAGAAAGAGAAGCCATTTGTTAGTTTTCCGCTCAAAAGCAGTTCCGTGGGTAGTAATCAATTCTATTTTCACCATCAACAAAAGTCCAGAAAAGAGTGAGAGAGAATGTGTGTCACTGGATAACAGTAAATATGCTATCACTTACCACCTTTAGCGTCACCAGTTCCAGACTGTCCAGGATGGTCAGCGAATAGCGTGACCACAAGGGCGTGGGAAGATTTTTTCAGCAGGTCGACGACGGTGTCGTTGACGGGATCCTTGTTCTTCTCCAGCCAACCAGTCAAGTTATACGTGACAGTGCCAGCGTAGTGAACGATGGCAAAGTGGCCCTCGACCTGACCGGCCTTGGGTGGCTTGGGCTTGATGAACACAGGAGATTTTCCCAGGTGATTAGCATTAAGTTTCTCTTGGAAGGATTTGTCAGTGGCTTTGGGGAACATAGACTCTTCCTCCAAGATAGAGAGAATTCCCATTTTCTGTTAAACGTAAAACGTCAGTTAATTATTTTCTCCTAGATAAATATACAAGAGTAGACCTAAATATACATCGATAGTAGGAGTGGTTACTATATTGACCAAAGCAGTGGGGTGATCGCTAGCCTCACAGGCTCCATAAGGACTGGCGCCAAGTTAATCCTCACCGGCCAGGATACGAACCCAGACCATATCGCTTGCGAAGCACGGGGCAAGTGTTTACCACTGCGCCACAGAGCTAGCTTATACTTTGCGTGTACAGTCTCTATATATCATTCCTGGAGGATAAGGTTTTACCGTAGGCGGCCGGGGTGGGGCCAAGTTCAGCATCCCCTCTGGTAACGATATGGTATAAATAATAGAAGATCGTGAGGCGTACATGCATCTATTACCCTGTCTACGCTCATAGATAAGTGAGTATAGTTATTTCATAGATCCTATAAACTTGCTGGGATGGCGAAGCCTCATAAAATGTGATGAAGCTTAAAAGTAATTTAAGCTTCTACATAATTTGTCTCTTCTTCTCCTTTCAGATCATTTGTATCCCAGTCAATCTGCCTCATGAATGATGTTTCCAATAACTAGCATCTTTGCTCTCAACATAAGGAAGGATTCAGCCACTTTTTGGATGATATGCAGGCTGTGAATGGAGTTGTTGATTTGGAAGAGAATATGGAGATGCAGCAATGATATGTTGTTCTCTGTCAGATTGGTGGTTGGTTGTATTTGTCTGCCTTACTGGTTGCTTGTGTTGTATTGTCTCAGTCTCTTGCCTTCCAGTGGTGTAGTTTCGTTATGTTCCTTCGTGGTTTGAGAATTTGTTATTTACAGAAAAAAAATCATTTAATTTTTCTTAACTACATTGTAATTACAAATGTCCATGTGTTCCCACGGTCAGACTTCAAACCTTCCTCTATGGTTTTTAGCCTCATGATATTGTCATTAATAACTGCATCCTTGACGTGAGGCTTCCATAATTCTTCTCTCAACTTTTCTACTTCTCTCACTTAGGTTTCTTCTTTGTTCCTTCAAGTAGGAACTCATTTGCGTGCTTATGTTTCACAATTAAATTATAAAATTTAATTTACATATGTAAAATTATATTTAGAGTTTTCATTACGTTCAAAAAATTTTAAGTATAATTTCCTAGTCAACAAAATAATTCACTCCGTGATCGCAATACTAAGTAACTTATGAAATCGTAAATGTTTCCATAACTTGCAAAATTCTTTTATCCCCATGATAAGGTAAATTAACACAAACGTAATTTGAAAGTATAAGGAAGTTACCTTCTCGAAGAGCTCGATGCAGGCCTGTAGATCCATACCGAAGTCGACGAAGACCCAGTTGATACCTTCCTTCTTGTACTCCTCTTGTTCCAGCACAAACATGTGATGGTTGAAGAACTGCTGCAGCTTCTCGTTACAGAAGTTGATACAGATCTGCTCGAAGCCGTTGTACTGCATATTGAATGAACAGGAAAAAATAGATTGGTTATGAAAAGAATATTTGAAATGTGGAAAATAGAATAAAAAAATATACAAGAGCAGAATTACTGTTCGGTATTATTATTACAATATTTTGAAGCAGTTTTCTTAATGGTATTCTGTTACAGCTCATTATAACTTCTTCCTTACGTCAAAGATCTCGAAGCCAGCAATATCGAGCACGCCAATAAACGACGCTCTCTTCTGACCCGTCTCCAGAGTCTGATTACACTTGGCAACCAGCCACTTGAACACACGGTCGAACAGACCCTTGGCCAGGGCACCGACGGAGTAGTTACACTGATCCACATTCATACCCTTGGCTACGAACTCAGCTCCGACCTTGATCTTGGGCTTGGTAATGCATTTGTACAGATCAGCGCCCTCAACGCCTAGCAATTTGGCGACTTTGTCACCAACCTGGTGGAGGAAAGCAAAACAGCTATGATTATTTAGCATTTTCTCCAAGTAGGTAAATGTAACCTTGTTATTATTGGATGAAATGACATTATATGTAAAACAACTACGTTATGGGGATTACCTCAGTGCCGTCAGGTTCGGCCTGTTCCTCGCGACCCCTCTGCTTGAACTTGACTTCACCGAAGTGCATGACTGATGCGGTGACTTTGTAGACTTGTTCAACCTCTTCGGGGGAGAAACCGAGAACGTCGAAGGCATCCTGTAACAGATGAAGAACCACATTGGTGTCTTACAAATTATCGAAGCTCCTCTCTGTGTGACGTAGGTCCCACACACATCTATCGTGTTCGCTGTCTTTGCATACTAAGCTGCACATACACACAACACAGAATTTTCACATACTGAGATGCTAGGCTATGTCGATTGTTAGAGGCTCGTACAATGGAAAAATGTATATATATTAATGATAAAAAACAATATATTATGACAGAAAAGGTGATGACAAAATAAACTATATTTTATGTATACATTGATAAAAATGCAACGAGTTTTACATTTAAAGGCTCTTCATAATGTGAGGCCATCGACGTATTCAATGATCGTAAGGTGAGGTCTCTGATATGTTTAGTGGTTCCTCATGAAGTGGGGGTGCCTCAGAGGTATTCAGTGGTTCCTATTACGGTTAGGTCTCTGGTATATTTAGTGGTCTCTCGATGATGTGGGGGCCTCAGCGGTATTTAGCGGTCTCTCAATCATATATAATGCGAGGCCCTTAACTGCTAGTTGTTTTCTCTCACATAAGCACAAATTTACCCCAAGGGAATGCTTTTGGAAAATAACAACTACAAATTAAATGTAGTTTGTCTCTATCATGTACATATAAGAAGTTAAACAAAATTAAAATTATATAATATCAGTAATCGTCTGACAATGTTTACAAGTGTTGGCGGGAAAACTCGCGGAGGAATATCCTCACTGACTCTGCTTAGAAAAGAAGTTTTACTATTTTGCCGTCCATCTTTAGAACGTGTGAGCGATTCTGGAGATCTTGGTGGCATTGGGAATATGCTGGTGCACTTTGAGAGAGAGTTAATAACGGCATTTGACGCCAATAGCACGGGAACTACTTGATCGGTGAGCCCAGAGCGGTGATGCAACTCCTCGGGGATGGCGGCCGTTCAGACGTCAGTGTTTTGCGTCAGTTGACGTCTGTCTACAGTCAGTATTACAGGGTGAGTTGACGCCTGTCTACAGTCAGTATGATAGGGTCAGTTGACGCCTGTCTACAGTCAGTATGATAGGGTCAGTTGACGCCTGTCTACAGTCAGTATGATAGGGTCAGTTGACGCCTGTCTACAGTCAGTACGATAGGGTGAGTTGACGCCTGTCTACAGTCAGTATGATGGTTGAGTTGACGCCTGTCTACAGTCAGTATGATGGTTGAGTTGACGCCTGTCTACAGTCAGTATGATGGTTGAGTTGACGCCTGTCTACAGTCAGTATGATGGTTGAGTTGACGCCTGTCTACAGTCAGTATGATGGTTGAGTTGACGCCTGTCTACAGTCAGTATGATGGTTGAGTTGACGCCTGTCTACAGTCAGTATGATGGTTGAGTTGACGCCTGTCTACAGTCAGTATGATGGTTGAGTTGACGCCTGTCTACAGTCAGTATGATGGTTGAGTTGACGCCTGTCTACAGTCAGTATGATGGTTGTGTTGACGCCTGTCTACATACTAGGCCTGAGGATCTGTTAATTAGTTTTTCATCGTGACCTCTACAAAAATAATAGTGCAAAATGGGAACTTTTGGAGAGGCCAACGGTTCATTTCTGTACGTTCGTCGAAATACATGGTAAAATCGATAGGAATTTCTAAGTGAGTGGGTAAACAAAATTAATAATGTATATCACGAAAATTCTTTTTAAACGGGCTTCATTCAGTGGCATCCTGTACAATAAGCGTTGAAGCCTCATCTGAACCAAACAGCCTAGTGCTTATACTTGCACTCACAGCCTAGTGATTATAGTTGCACTCACAGCCTAGTGCTTATACTTGCACTCACAGTCTACTGCTTATACATGCACTCACAGCCAGTACTTATACCTGCACTCACAGCCTAGTGCTTGTACTTGCACTCAAAGCCTAATTTTTATACTTGCACTCAGTCTAGTGCTTATTCTTACACTCACAGCCTAATACTTATACTTACTCTCACAGTCTAGTGCTTATACTTGCACTCACAGCCAAGCGCTTATACTTGCACTCACAGCCAAGTGCTTATACTTGCACTCACAGCCTAGTGCTTTTACTCGCACTCACAGGTTTGGGTTTCTATTTGTACTCACAGCCCAGTGCTTCTACTTGCTCTCACAGTCTAGCACTACTTACAGGGTAATTCTTAGTATTTCCACAACATTACCACAACACAAAGCCCATTCATTATACGTTCCCTCACAACGTAGTACATTTACTACCATTTACAGACTAGTATTTGTACTTCCATTCAAGTGTAGTCGGTTCTCGTATCATATATTCGTAGTAGTAATTGAACGTCCATTTCCAGCTTGATAAAGTCCATTACGGGCTCACCATATTCCGTGGTACTTGGAGAATTTTGTTCAGAGTAGCTGAATCAAAAGTAACATCCAGCTTGATATTTCAAATTCCATTCACAACCTAATATATATTTCCGTTCATAATGTTGCACTATTAGTACTACAAATCACATTTTTATTCACCTAGTATATCTGCTTCCTTTAGAAACTTAGTATTTCTACTTCTGTTGGTATTCATCAGTTCACTTCCAATCTCATCCTGCGTTCATTCTCATGCTAGTACTTCTACTCATGCTAGAACCTTGTAGAGGTTCAGAGGTTAGATTATCTGCTTCCATTCACAGCTTATTACTTCTGAGTTTTGCGGTACAGGTTATATAAATCTCTTATACAACACATTATATCCACTTCTATTCACAACTTACTAATACTCCTTATATTCAGACTAATTTTTTGTACTTCATTCGCAGCATAATTCTTCAACATATACACTGTTATAGGAGAGTATATAATCATCACAATTGGGGAACTGCTTTGTTATTATTTGGTATAAATAGTTCGGGTAATAAAACTATACCAGTTTTTATTGATCATTAGAACAAAATGTAGTATTTGCACGCTCGAGTTTTGTCCGTTATTAATTAGCATTGTAATGGTGGAAATTAAAATACACGTAGAAACATTAAAACATATCTTAGAACAAAATATATCTGATATTCATTTCTTGTTTCTCTTAAGACACTAAGGTTTATAGGGTTCATAACGCTATAAATAATAATTATTTGTCATGAGCAGAAATTGTCATCGTGATATGTCATTTAAAATCCTCTATTTCACCAAAATTTGTCCTGATCATTGGCTATTTTGAAAGCAATTTTATAATCATATAATGTAAGTATATTTGTTTTGTATTCACTAATATAATATTACTTTATTCATGATGTCAATTTTTTTATTCATTACAGCAACATTACATCTGTGCCGTTCAAATTTACAAAACTACACAAACAGTTTTTTTTGTCTGTAAAATGCAAGTTAAGCTGTTACGTTACTACTCTTGAAAAAGATTCCCTAAATCAACTTACCATATTGTAAAATAATTTATTAAATAATAATAGTGCCAATGATAATTTAATTGTTGCTCCATCCATACCAGGTGAACAAGTATAACTTGTACACCTTCCTGTGCAGGTCAGTGTTCAATCCTCGACCGTCTACGTGGTTGGGCACCAGTCCTTCCCTCCGTCCTATTCTCAAATCCTTATCCTGACCCCTTCCCAGTGATATATAGTCGTAATGGCTTGGCGCTTTTCCCTGATAATTATCTTCCATTGCACACCTTCTAACCTTACCTGGTGTACATAAGTTTTTTCCCTATTCATACTTGGTTACTTGGTTTAACTATGAATTGCCTCATATCTTCACAACCTGGTAAACATCATTTTTGCCCCTCTAATACCTGGTTACCAGGTTTAGATAATATTTGCTCTTGATCTCCGCTCACCGACTAATATTCCTTACTTAGAATTACTACTAATTCTTCTATCTTTGCCTCATAGTAAGATTATTTTTTCCACTGTCATCCTTTTTCATTTGGTGTAGGTAGTTTGTGCCTTTTCCATATTTGCTCATCTGGTATAGGTGAGTTTTGCTTCTTTCATTCATACTCACCTGATATAAATAATATTTTCTCCTTCAGTCCCTTATCACTTGGTGTAGATAATTTGAACTCCATTCTTAATCACCTGGTATATGTATTTTTCCCCTTGCTCGCCTGGGATAAATAAGATTTGCCATTTCCTTTCATACTTATTTAGGATAGACCGTCTTTGCCCTTTTTATCCATATTCACAAGGAATAGAAATGTAGATCATCCTTAGCCCCTTATGATATATACATAATTTTTTTCCTTGTATACATTGTATAGATATTTCTTTTTGTTTGCTCTTATTTCTACTTACCTGATAGAGATAATTTGTATTCCTTGCATCCTTGTATACCAGGTTTAGATAAACAAATTTGTTTGCCCCATCCAGGGTCAAGGAATATAGTGTAGTATGTTTTGTGCATTCTGTTCCTTGTCGTGAGATACAGATATAAATATAACTCCAGCTGTTCCCTCTTAGTACAGAAGCGTTGCCTGCTTTAAAAGTCTAAGAAATATTCTAAACACTATGCAGCTGCTCATTTGGAAATTTTTTTTGCCGGGATGTTTGTTGTTATTTATATACGAGATGAGGTACTCGGCTGCGTCCGGGTCTCTCAACCAGCCTTTCCCATCTGTTATTTCTCTCCCCCTACTCTCCCCCCCTATCCCCTCTTTCCATCTTTAATTCTCGCCAATATCCGCCCTCATCCCTCTTCCCCTCTCTCTTCATTCCTCTCCACCATAACTTCCAATCTCTCTCCCTCTCTATCCCGTCCCCTCTCACCTCTCCTTTCCTTTCCACCAACATCCTCCTCTCTCTCTCTCTTCCCCTCTCCGCCGCCCCTCCTCTCCTTTCAGTCCCCCTATCCCACAGCCCTCCCCCCTCTTCCCACTCTCCCTTTCCCCTTTCCCTCCCCCTCTCACCCTCTCTTCCCACTCTCCCCCTCCCCTCTCTCTCACCCCCTCTTCCCACGCCCCTATTCCCCCTCTCACCCTCTCTTCCCACTCTCCCCCTCCCCTCTCTCTCACCCCCTCTTCCCACGCCCCTATTCCCCTTCTCTCCCCATCACCCCCCCCCCCTATTTCACTCGGGTAAACGCCAGGAGTAAGCATCAAACTATGGTTTCCACAACCCGTAATTTTATTTCAGACCTACCAATCGCAAGAAGGAGGGGGGTTGAACACTTAAGATGCAGATATTTCTTAAAGTTTATGGCACTTAGGCTGACTCCGACTATTCTATGGCAATCATATAACCCCAAATTTCCTGTGTAAATACCCAAGTGTAGTTACACGATGAAAGCTACGCTCGTGGTGTACCGTCTTACCAGCACTCTTTGTCATATAACGGAAATGGGTGAGGCTTGCCCCAAACGTCTGGCTTCCTAGTTCGGACAGCCACATAAACATTCTATTTTACAGATACGGGCAACTTTTAGGTAGGTACTCACATGACAGAACTGCATGTCCTCGGCGTCATCAATGGAGGGGACGGTAACCTTGCCTTGAGACACGTAATGGTAATCGTAGATGTCGTTGCTTAGATAGCATGAGGCTGTTAAGGCGAGGAAGAAAGTTCAGTATTAGCATTTAATCACTTTGGATTATATTCAAAGGGCTGCATAATATATATATATATATATATATATATATATATATATATATATATATATATATATATATATATATATATATATGTCGTACCTAGTAGCCAGAACGCACTTCTCAGCCTACTATGAAAGGCCCGATTTGCCTAATAAGCCAAGTTTTCATGAATTAATTGTTTTTCGACTACCTAACCTACCTAACCTAACCTAACCTAACTTTTTCGGCTACCTAACCAAACCTAACCTATAAAGATAGGTTAGGTTAGGTTAGGTAGGGTTGGTTAGGTTCGGTCATATATCTACGTTAATTTTAACTCCAATAAAAAAAAATTGACCTAATACATAATGAAATGGGTAGCTTTATCATTTCATAAGAAAAAAAATAGAAAAAATATATTAATTCAGGAAAACTTGGCTTATAAGGCAAATCGGGCCTTGAATAGTAGGCCAAAAAGTGAGTTCTGGCTACTAGGTACGACATATATATATATATATATATATATATATATATATATATATATATATATATATATATATATATATATATATATATATATATATAATTATATATATTGGGCTGCATAACTGAAAACAGTCTTAATAAAGGTGACAAGAATTTAGTAAAGGTATTCAGAAATGAATTTTGTAAGAAAGAGTGAGTGGGGTCTTAGAACGTCGTATAGTTCGAAGTATTGAGAAAAGTGAGTGGGACCTTAGAACATCATATAGTCCTCATGGTGTCAAAATCTTCAATTCATCGTGTTGATCTGGGAGTTTCTCACTCAGCTTGAGACACGGAATGACAGCTCTGGTCAAATGGTCAAAACTGCGAGTAAATATTATGTATTGTACTCAACAATTGGTTAAAATATCGATTTATTGTCACATTATTCGTCGATATTTTAACTGGTTAAAATAATTTTAGGTGTCTACTTAAAGTGAATCACATAATTGGTGGGCTCACCTTCATCGACCAGGGAGATTGTTTTCTTGATCTCTGTTATAAGCTGTAATTTAAAAATAAATGTTTACTATTAACAAGAATGTAAATGTATCATAAAATAAATTTTCCTATCGGAAAAAAGTCATGATTTCTTGTATTACCTGTTGGTAAGCAAAACATCTGATTCGAATTCACGGTTAGATATCATAAACGCGTTTGTATTTTAGTAAATATTAAACACACGCCGTTTATCGTTCACTGTTTCTTCGTGAATGTGGCAGACTTAAACAACGACTCAGCCCGATTTTGGTTTATTTAGTTTCGTAAAAGTGCAGCTACTAGACCCTTTACATGTGACATTACGTAGCCTAGTATTGTTGTAAATATCGTGAAGGGTCAAATCAGGGTCCACAGCTAATTTAAGTTGTAATATTTGTTGATAGCTACCGTTGCACAGAATCTTAAGTTAACATCCGGTAGGCTATTATTCATTTTATATGAAACTAGTCGAAAATGCTGTTAAAAAAATATTGCTACAAATTCCTGCTTTCATTCGTCACAACAATATAAAATATACATTGAAGTGAATTTTATGCTTTCAAATACATTGTTTTTTGTTTATAATTAATGTTTTAATTTTGTTATAAAATGTTTATTATATTTTTAATTCAAGCCACTGTTGTACATAGGCACAGTCTTGTAAATTATTTATATACACCGGAAAATAAACGTATCATCTCGTCTTAAGATGATTTAGGCCTTTATTTTTATATTTATATATATACACATTAATTTCAGAAATTTTCTAGTTCTTTCAAAGTCACGTACCTGCTGACGATTGTATGTAACTTGTGACTGACATATGTACATTTATTTATATTAATCTTTTCTACAAACATACTTACGTTTGATTTGCGGGATCTGGTCGGACATCATTTCGTAGAAGATATGGTAGGCGCGCTCAAGAGGCTGCTGGGAGATGACGCGAGCCTTCTCCAGCAGGTAGACCTCAATGTCAGCACCGGCCAGCTTGCCGTTAGGTTGGAAATGGATCCGGATGAACTTGCCCTATAAAAAAATATGATCATATCGTCATAAAAGGAAGTTTGTTTTAAGTTTTATATATATGAAAGCAAATATTACAAAAGGTATCTTAGTCGTCGTATTTAAGTTGCTGAATTTATTAAAATGCAAGCGGTGTGAGCGAACTTATCAATGGGAATATGAAAGGTGACGTGGTATATATATATATTACTCCAGTACTGTGACATGGTATACCAGCCATGTCGTGGCTGGTATACCAGTCATCGACAAGCAACAGATATTGAAAATATTGGCGCCATTTGTGAATGCAAGTTATTTAGACAAAATTGTATAATCAGCTAAGGTGGTTCATATTCAGTGCCTAATTGAGTTTTAACAGTAGGCTTGAGATAAAACAGTCTAGCATAGTTTACTATTTCGTAAAGTAGTAAATAACACATGTAAATAAATAACTAAAGCAATTAATAACACAGGTCCTGTTTACAAAATTAAATCCATTAAATTAAAGCCTTAAAACACCAGAACAAAGTATCAAGTATTAACTAATCGAATTTGTGCCCTGAGATTTAGCTTTATAAATTACTCACGAAGCGGGATGAGTTGTCATTTCGAACGGTCTTGGCGTTACCAAAGGCTTCCAGGACAGGGTTGGTCTCAACAATTTGGTCCTCGAGATTCTGAAAGGGTAGTTATAATCATTTCTGGGAAGTATAATTTTATATTCAAGCAAATCATAATTTAACAGATAAATACACCTTAAACGATAAAAAATAAAATCACGCTTACCTTCTTGGTCTCTTCAGCTTTCTTCTTGGTGGTGGCGCCGACGTTGGCGAAGTAGGAGAGCACCTTCTTGGTGTTCTCAGTCTTGCCGGCACCAGACTCACCACTGTATTGAGGAATATGTATATTATATATATTGAGAAATATATATATATGCGTGTGTGTGTGTGTGAAAATCACGAAAATTAGCATGTGATGAAAAATGTGACAGTGTCAGACCACGGAGGAAGGAATTCCTGTTTTAATTCTTCCTCCGTGGTCTGTATATATATATATATATATATATATATATATATATATATATATATATATATATATATATATATATATATATATATATACACACGATATATATCGTGTGTATATATATATATATATATATATATATATATATATATATATATATATATATATATATATATATATATAGATATATATATATATATATATATATATATATATATATATATATATATATATATATATATATATATATACTTGTATATATATATACTTGGCCGGAAAGCGGCCAAGTCACGTAAATACAGAGACCTAGAGCACCAGTACAATTTTGTCCCCATTGCCTCAGAGACACTTGGTGCCTGGGGTAAAAGTGCTGCTAGCTTTTTGAAGGAGTTGGGGTCTAAGCTAATCGAAACAACTAGAGACCCTAGAGCTGCCAGTTTTCTTTTTCAGCGCCTTAGTGTGGCAATCCAGAGAGGAAATGCTCACTGCATCCATGCTTCATGCCCGCCATCTGAGGAGCTGGAAGAGCTGTACAACTTGTGACAAGCAGCCTTGCACCCTGCATGTAATCAATATTGTAACTTTTTTTGTGTAATGACATTTTCAAATAAAGTTAGATAAATATTCACACATACCAAAAGAATAGGGGTGGTAGGAGAAGAAAATATCAAAGTGTTCAGTGAGGATCCACAAGGTTTTCTCTGAGTACTCTTTATTTTCTTCTCCGAGGCTATGGGTCCCTACACTTGCACCAGAGGTGGTACCCCTTCTATATATATATATATATATATATATATATATATATATATATATATATATATATATATATATATATATATATAAAATGGATACTGTGAGTAGGTATCGGGCATTAGTTTAAACACAAGAATATAGAACCGATTTGTGAGCAAGAAACCTTTTGACAATGTTACAGATTTCAGCTAAAAACTAATTTAACATTATTTTTCTATATATATATAAATATTTAGACTTCTGATAAATTATTAACATAATTACATACAGATAACAAAATGAATACATATATTTATATTTTAGTTAAAAGAAAGAAAGATGTTAAAACTAACAATGCTAAAAAAATAAATAGTTGTAATCTAAAATTTAATTAAATTAATTTATTAAAAGTTACTTATATAGGTATTAATGAAACTTTGTCAAAATAAAATATAAAATATATGACATCAGACATTTGAGGGGACGGGTGTCTACTTATTATAGTATTACTTAATAAATAGGGGGGAACTTTTACTGTATATATGTAATAAATGGGGGCAGGGGAACTATTACAGTCTACTTGTGAATGGGGGGGAGGAAAATTATTAGAGTACAGTTCTGGAGTAATTATTAAGGTCGAGATTAAACTACCATATTATACTTACGTAATCAGCATAGATTGATTTTCACCAACTGGAAAAATCCCAAAATATAGCATGTTTAGAAGTTTTATAGTTAATTTTTAATAATATCTGTTTACATAACTAAATAACTTGTTAAAAAACTATTTTTGCTCGTAAGATTTGTTCATTCATATAAAAGAATACGTAAAATAAATTTAATATGAAAAATAACTTTTAGCTATTCAGATAAAGTATAATAAGTACGAAAAATATATTTTGCACCGTTCTTAAAAATATAATATTTGCATATTTATGATGTTTTCTTAACGCTTAAGATCATTCATTTTGAAATTTCATCACTGATCATATTTCACAAGAGTAGATCTTAAATATTTTCAAATGACAGTATAACACGGCCTAGCATTATGTACTTACGTTGAATCATGTTCATGTAGGCGCCGTCGGCGATAGCGAAGAGATGGGGAGGCACTTCGTTACGCCTCTTGCCCTGGTAGATCTTGACCACGCGGTTGGTGTAGATGGGGTAGCGCTTGTAGGGGTTGATGGCGATACAGAAGAGACCGGAGTAGGTGTAGATGAGCTTAGCGATGTATCGGGACTTCAAGTTGTACAGGACGGAGGCATCGTTCAAGTAGGTCAAGTTGGACATGTCCTCGCATTTCTCGTACTTGGGAGGGTTGACCTGATCAACAAGATCCTTCTTCCAGTTCTTGGTCTCTCCTCCCGCGTAAACAACAATGAGATCGCCCTTGTTGCCCTGGATCTCCCCCTCGATGAAGCCCTCCTTGTCACTAGGGACCCAACACGACTTCTTAGGGTCATAAGGCTTAGTCGAGTCCTGCATTTTCATTTCCATTGAAATGTACAAAAACTCTGAGGGGTCGGGGTCGGGACCCGTGCTCTTCTTCACGTGGCCGGGCATGTTGGTGGTGGGTGCCTGAACTTGTCAACTACTGATCACTCTTGCGGGATTTGACCTTTAATATAAAAGGAATAGTTAGAATCACTTAATTCATAGTATTTGTGCGTCTGTATGTTCGTTGTATAGATGCATGTATATATATATATGTATAGATTTGTGCATAGGTGTAATCATTCACATAGCTAGCACCATGTGGCACCACCTTTCGAATATTTTGTAGTTTCATCTTATCCTCCTGAAATAATGGTACTAATAGCAACTATTTGGTTGAAAGTACCAATATGTTGTGATAGACCACCAAAAAGTTCACTTGAACTTTTAATGTTATAGAATTCGGAAAAATAAAAGTTAAAAAACAAACTTAGGCTTCCCTATGAAGCTTATTGCACATATCGTATATGAAAAGTATTAGGCCAAAGATATTGTGTATTTGGCCTAGGATTACTAAGAGGTTTTTTAAAGTTAGGTTTGGTTCTATATGGTGAGATAACAAAAAAAATTTGGTCAAATTAAACAATACAAAAATAAACTTTTTGGTGATAATCAAACCACACAACAATGGATTGTTTGTTTACTTAAGCAATTGTAATTATTCAATTGACTGGACTAATTCATGGAAAATTGTAGTGTCAATCAGTGAGTGAATATCCATTTAAAACAAAAGTAGTGAATTAGATAATGTAGATCCAGGAATATATAAATTGGTAAGATTTGCATTAAGTATAAAATTATGTTAAAAATAATCATATGTGTAGTACATTTCAGAATTAGGGAATAGCCTATCCCCATTCAATCATATCACTTCCATTATTCGATATTTTGTTTATGAATCTTAATCAACTCATGTGTAAGGGGGATTATATAATCCCAAACTCTGTTTTCTATATGTATTCTTTGGTAATGTGTTGAAACCCAAAGCCGTTCAGAATTTCCGTTGATTTTTTTCCTACGTGGATGCTTACGCATAACCAAATCACGTGTTTTGTGTAAACAGAAGACGAGGATTAGGGGAAGATTAAGGTGAGAAGGTAATGGGAGAGGAAGAAGGGTGAGGGCTAATTGGTCCCCAGGAAGGTAGTAGTCGTAGAAGAGCAGTAGAATAATAATGAGAAACAGGAGTACCATGTACGTGTATCAGGCTTTCCATTGAAACATAATTGAAGGAGTTTTAACACAGTAAAATTAAAGTTGTTCAATTTCAATCGAACTTTACTTGCTAGTTGTATATGAAAAGGGCTTCAACTGGTCCAAGTCTCAGCATCGTAGCATAAATAGGAAGGGAGAAAAAATATATTGAACTATGTTTCAAAAAATTTCCAAAATGGTCAAAAATTAACGCCAAACACAAGTGACAACTGAAATTATATCTATGACTAAGTAATCACAATAGCATATAATAAAGTGTTTTAATAATTAGTTTTATGCCCCAAAAAATGTTAAAAACTACAAAATATTAGATTTTTTCTCAATTTTTTTTTATCGGGCGATTTGCATGAAACGTATACACCTTACGGAACGTAAGCCTATCTGTAGGGTTGCCAATTTAGGAGGAAATTGGTTAATGTCAACCTCAACCACGGGTGTCAGAATCTGTGGCTTTATTTATTGTCATTTATTGTCGAGTAACATAAAATTTCTAGTCCTAAATTTCTAAAAATTTCCTATTTCATTTTGAATTCAATTTATATGAAACTTACACGTTATATGTAGAGTTTACGTCACTACAATCTCTCTAAAACACTTTATTCCTAAGTTCATTTATTGATTTTATAAATATTTGCAAACATGAAATATTGGCATAAATTTTGGGGGAAATTTGACTGTATTAGTAAAACTAAACATATTTTGGATAATCCGCTTAGACAAATCCTTTATTATATGCTAATGTAATAGAAGAGTGTCATATAAATGATTTCATTTGAAACTTGTGGACTTATTGAAAATGTGAAAAATTAGTTGAATTTTCCCCCCCTTCCCCCTTTCTATTTAGGATGCGATACTGAAACTTGGACCAATTGCAGCCTTTTTTATATTCAACTAGGAAATAAAGTTTGATTGAAATTGAACAACTTTTATTTTATTGTAATATGGCCCCTGAAGGTATATCATCCTCCAGTGATAGTGATGGACAATTATATATGTGTATATGGACGACTGATAATGAAAGTACTTAATCTTCCCCTGTCACCCTCCTTCCCTCAATAAAAAAGTACCTATTATTCAAATTTATTATACTCCTTTATCATAAAATTAATATTCGTAAAGGATCACCGTTTTTACGCATGCATGAAGTATTTGAGCACCAGAACTACGTTACGGTCTTAGGCTCCCAAAAAATAGTTATAGGCCTTTTGCATTTCCGACACTATAATTTACCCCATCACACGAAAGTCACTTCACATGAGTATTAGTCTTTCGGATGTCAGCAAACGATATACCACAATAATGTTCTAATTTCATCAGATACGCTTGACTTACGAGCTTCACTGCACCGCTCCGAACGCACCACCACCACTGCAAGCACCAACCGAAGGACGTCTGAAGCAGTCTGAAGGCGCTTTTACCAGGAAAGGTGAGTGCTGGGAGGGTTTTAGCTTGCAGCAGGCAAGAATAGCACCGGGCGGACGCACTGACCATCGCGCTTGAAATACATCCAATTTGGCAAACCAACGTAATCACAATAGAGGAATGCAGCGATAATTCCCTTCTGAAACAAATGAACTTATGGCAAAACACTTCGGCAGATAACTCTAGCGTTCGCTGTGGACAAAATGTTTTAACCTTTGTGGTTTATTATAATTTTTAAATGTAAATTGATTTTTGTTGTCGCTACGCGTAAATGTTGAGGGCATACAGTGTTGCCCAAGTTCATTCGTCCGTACGTTACTTTATTTCCGTATAGTTAGTAATTAAAAGCTTGACGCTTCTTTATTCGATGTAGTGAACTCTTCTCTTGGAATGCATTTCAAACACATCTTCCTGCCATAGTCGCCTTTTTTGCGGACCGTTTCCGGAAAGTATGATTTGATGCTTTCTTCTGAATTGGACTAAAGTTACACATTGCCACACGACCATCATTTGTAAATGTATATAAAGCGTATCTATTCATATGTAGACATTAATTAGTCGAGTTCAATTATAGCATTTCTAGAGTGATGAACAAAATTAATTGTGCTTGGGTCTCAGAGTATATTTTGCTTAATTCTCGACTCGCCACGATCGGGGATCCCAGGTTCGAATCCTTGGTGGAACAGAAATGGTTGGGCACGTTTCTTTTCACCTAATTTCTCTCTTCACATAGCAGTAAATAGATGCGTAGGAGTTAGACAAATGTTGGGCTTGTATCCTGGATAGGGTCAGTAATCAGCCAGTTCTCGCGAGCGTTCCCAACGTCAAGAAACAGTCGTTTTAAAGTGCCCTTATCCTAACCTTCCAGAGGACCCACGAACAGAAAACTGAACATTATGTCAGTTTCGCGAGCCACTACCATCTTCTAGTTATACCTTTGGTAAAGTATGTCAAAATGCGACGTGCAATTAGGATGGGTTGCAGTACAGCACTGTAGTTCGACCTAGAGGTGCTGCGATACAAGCCTATTTATTGATGGAAAACGTTCACTTTTTGGTTGTCCATCATTACATAATGGTAGTTTCTATCTGTATAGTTACTGTAAATACTTTCATTTCAGGAGGCTTGGGTGATTATATAATTTCGTATAATACGCATTCGAACTCTCACAGACTTTTTATATCTTACAACGAAAATTAAACGGTTAGGATTTGCACGAAGAGTTTATTTGCTGTCTTTATGTGTAATATATTATTAAATGAGATAATATCAAAGCAAACAATGACAAAGAACGCAGGTCAGGTTCAAGAATGTTTTGTTGTGTTCGTGCGCATCAAGACGAGCCAGGATCCGGATGGAACCACCCCAATGTTAAGCTCTTCCTGTTTACCTTTTTTGTCTCTTAAGCATTTTATTGTAGTGACCATTCAGGCCTGTGTTCCTGTAGTTTGGGTCTTCATTGTCTTTTGTGTTAACGTATTTGTTGTATATATTCCAATTTTAAAGGAAATGCGAGTAGTGAATGGTATTTAATTGTGCACTTGTGGATACTAGAAATTTAGAAATTAAAATTAATCGTTGTTTACGTGATTTTTGATGGAATGTTCCCCTCTCCACCCCACCAAGGTCGAACTATTAACCCTCTCCAGGATACAACCCCCACAACAGTTGCCTAATTCCCGGGTACCTATATACTGCTAGGTGAACAGGTGTATTAGGTGAAAGGACATTTACCCAACCATTTCCATCCAGCCTGGGAATTGCTCTCGGGATTCAGTCACCTTGGTGTTATTATTTAGGTAACTTTGGATACGATTATAAGTTTCAATAATACGTAATATATTTTGTTTGACTTTTGTTTTACTAAGATTATATTTAATATTATACATTGTTGTTGTTAAAGATTCGCTACCTGGAACAAAGTTCCAAGTAGCACGGACTATGGTGATCCCGTTGCGAATATTATACAATTTATTCACTGCATCAAGTGTTCCTTTGTATCGTAATTGCACAGTGCATCTTTTTGTTGTTGTTTTGAAGCAGGTTTGATAGACCTGCGTATCTTTGATAAAAGTTCAATTTCTGCTAGTAATAAGATAGTATCAATTCTTTCAGGACGATAGCAGTTTCATTTGAATGTATGGAACGAACTCATTTGGATTTTAGGGGTTTTAAAGAATTCATATCTGGAGATACAGACTAACATGTGCAGCTTTTGCCAACATAATACCTCCTAGCCCTAACAATTGATAATACAAATACAAATGTAAATACTAGCAATGGAAACCAAATTTTGGAATATACCTGGTTAAAGTTTTGTGAACAATAGGGCACGCTCCTGAAATTAGATCCGATCTTTGGAGAAAGGCCAAGAAACTGCTGAAACTCGACTCCATCTCGGGCATCTTGGCACACAACACATCAACAGAGTTTTAGTTATTACTAGATTGAAAAGATTATAGTTAGTTATGAATTGTCATGAGAGTCAAATTAGCTGGTAGTCTTAAGCATTCATTTGTGGACAAAAAAATTGTACCTGCTTGATGGGGTTCTGGGAGTTCTTCTACTCCCCAAGCCCGGCCAGAGGCCAGGCTTGACTTGTGAGAGTTTGGTCCACCAGGCTGTTGCTTGGAGAGGCTCCCAGGCCCACATACCCACCACAGCCCGGTTGGTCCGGCACTCCTTGCAGGAAACAATCTAGTTTCCTCTTGAATCAATCTAGTTTCAAGAGGAAACTAGTGAATCTAGTGTAGACCCTGTGTTATGTAATAACACAGGGATGTGTTATGTAATAATTAATTAATAAATGTACGCGAAGAATCTGTGCTTCTTCATGTATACTTATTGCATAATTTTTTTATTAAATAACACTTCAAAAGTTTGGTATATAATTAGCAGTTTGATAATTTGTGAAAAACATATGGCACATTTTGTGATATATAACTATACCTAAGCAGACATTCAGAAAACGCAGACCTACCTTCACTCTCAGTCGGCAGACGATATATTTTTGTCAGTATGTTAAATGAAAATTATATACTGTATAAGTTTTAGTTTATTTTTGTGTCCATTTTTATTATACATACCTGGTTGATACCTGGTTGATGGGGTTCTGGGAGTTGTTCTACTCCCCAAGCCCGGCCCGAGGCCAGGCTCGACTTGTGAGAGTTTGATCCACCAGGCTGTTGCTTGGAGCGGCCCGCAGGCCCACATACCCACCACAGCCCGGTTGGTCCGGCACTCCTTGGAGGAATAAATCTAGTTGCCTCTTGAAAATGTCCACGGTTGTTCCGGCAATATTTCTTATGCTTGCTGGGAGGACGTTGAACAACCGCGGACCTCTGATGTTTATACAGTGTTCTCTGATTGTGCCTATGGCACCTCTGCTCTTCATTGGTTCTATTCTACATTTTCTTCCATGTCGTTCACTCCAGTACGTTGTTATTTTACTGTGTAGATTTGGTACTTGGCCCTCCAGTATCTTCCAGGTGTATATTATTTGATATCTCTCTCGTCTTCTTTCTAGTGAGTACATTTAGAGGGCTTTGAGACGATCCCAATAATTTAGGTGCTTTATTGCATAGTTTTATATTCAATTTCAATTTCTTTATTATGCACCCTATACCCATCCCGTGGGCGGGGGTGGAAAGGGTTACAGAGGAACATATATATGGGTTCAGGAATTGAACCCCATAGTTCGTTTAGCTAAGCAAGTGACAATCTTTGAAGCTAGTTACACAATTGTTAATGTTCTATATACATGTACATACATATATATACAATCATTTACACAAATACATATACATATCGGTAATCTTGCTATATGACAAGTGATTCAACAAGAGACTCAAATACAAGAGGTTTCATATACATTAGCAATAAATACATTCAGTCTTTCTGCAGTTACTCATGTTCTCGTCAAGTCTTCGTACAAAACCAGTTTAGCAATATTGTTAGATACGGAATTTGATTGACAAGGAACAAGAGACCCCTAATAACCCTGTGCAACAATAATTCTTACAGTGTAACATGATTTTTGTTCTTTCAAATTTAAACATGTTTTGTAACGAAATTGAAATGTATTATACATTTTGTATTTCGTCTGTATTTGTTTTAAACTGGCTAAGACCACAAACCTTCATTCGTAAGTTCTGAATATGTGCTTAACTGATTGGGATAGCTGTTTGCAAGTCTGTAAATGTGTGTCTTGCATATGGTCCGTAACAAGAGCGAAACTCATATTTATATATGTATACAATAGAGTGATTTAAAATATTCTGAGGAAAACGCCTAAACTGTCTATTGCAAGAGGAAAGCCGAATTGGCGTGGAAATGTTAAGCTTCTGGTGTGTTTCGGTATCTTGAGCTAGCCAGCAGAGGCTGGTACTGTGATCATCACCCCTCACACACTTCTTGGGCTATGACCTCCCCTATGACCTCATCGACTTGAGAATGGTCCAGGACCGACCGAAACGTCGTCGTCCCTTCACTTTCTAGCGTGTGGTCTGGTCTATATGACCTCCCCTCTATCCCTCACACACACACACTACTTAGTCTATGACTTCCCATCTCTCATACTACTTAAACCATGACCACTCCCGCCTCACACACTGCTTGGGCTATGATCCTCATCCCCACACACACTACATGGGAATTTCCCTCTTGGAAGACTGCCACCCCTCTCCCTCAGGAGAAACAATAGTATTTTTCATTTACTTTACATCAGAAAGCTTTTCCGCACCACACAGTATTACACATTACACGCATTAGGGAAAATGCTGAAATCCATTTTGAGTGGAAATAATATTCTCGTGAAATCGCTGCAAACAACAACAAAAAGGAACATTAATTCTGGTCTGCTGAAACTTCCTGGACAGCAGGGTAAATAAACACAACATTGACTAGGAATCAAGGTCGTTTGCAACTGGTTTTCTACTAATTACTTAATTAATGTTATTATAATTAATGTTTAAGTGTTATTTTCCCCGGCATACACCTGGTTTTCTTCTAAGTGTGCTTATGTTTGTTGCAGTTGCTTAACATTTAAAGGGATTTTTTTTTTACT